CTTCGGCCTCGGAGTCTGCCAAACGTAGCACCCAGCAGAAGCAGGGCGCGAAGCGCAAGACTAGGCAGGAACCGAAAGCGGCTCCATCCACGACCCGGGCGGATGGCGTCATGATTCTCTTCTCACCCAAGTTTACAGCCAAGAGCCTTCGCTGGAAGGAGTGGAGTCCAGGCAGGGTCCTTGAAGCTCGTGCAGACATGGCAGGTACTAGGCTGGTCATTGTGGCTGTGTATCAACATGCTTGGTCCTCGGCCAAGTCCATCCAGTATAACAAGGACGACCGTGCTCATGTACTATCAGTCATGTCTAAGGTGGTCAAGCAGGTGCCCAAGCGGGATTCTCTAGTCGTGGCAGGCGACTTTAATACCTCCCTGCGCTCGTGTCCTCCATTGGTGGGTACACACGTGAAGCAGCCCACGGAGGATCGTCCTGACGAATCCCACTTGTCCAACCTGCTGCTAAGGTTGCGATTGGTGGCCCTTAATACCTGGCACTGTGACAACATTGCCACCTTTGCTCAAGGTGGCGTGGAGTCGCAAATCGATTTTGTCCTTACTAAGGAATCCACTGCAGGAGGCAAGGCCAAAAGGTCAGCCCCTTGGACGGACTGCCCGTTGGGTAGCTGGAAGAAGGGAGGGCACTACCCAATTAAGGCCGAAATCCCCCTCCAGCACCACTGGTTACTCCCACCGCACAAGGGAAGCACACGCCGTTATGATTCCCTAGCTCTTCAGGCCGCAGTCCGTGAGGAGGACGACACAGCCAAGGCACTGCATAGTTGGGTGAAATCCAGAATGGAGTCCTGTCAGGACCCTTCAGATTGGAATGCACTGCTGCTGGAGGGTGCAGAACGTTTCTTCCCCAAACTCTCCAAAAGACGACTGATCCCGCTTGAATCCGAGACTCGCCGTATGTGGAGGGCCAGGACCCTTTGCAGGGCAGACAACACAGCTCCCTCAGCACAGCTGATCGAGCCTCATCAACCAATGGCACAGCCTCCTGGGTTGAACACACTCCCCAAACCGGAAACTGAGGTGGAGCTGGCGCAAGTTGCGCACAGACAAGCTGTGAAGAAAGCAAAAAAGGACAGAATAGCGGGTTTCATAGCTGAAGTTGACGCCAGCATAGCGGAGGGCGACCAACATATTTCGTTTCAAACCCTTAAAAAGCTGCGGCCTTGGCAGCCGGCGCGTCGGGCTCAGCTCAAGGACAGCACAGGACATCTTCTAGGCCCAGCGCAGGAGCTTGCGGCACTCAGGGAGTACGCGAACCAGGTTTTCGCGGCTCACCCCCCGCTGAGGCCAATGACTGGAGCTTTTCCGGTTTTGGAGTCATCCAAATTAGCCGCTCACATTCATTCCATCAAGCCTAATAAAGCTGTGCCTGACGGAGCTGCACCTGCTGCCATTTGGAGACTTTGCAGTGACGTCATTGCACCGGTCCTTTCCCGACATGTGGCTGCTAAACAAGTAGAGGATGGACTAGAATCTGATCTCATCGACGCAGATCTGTGTCTAATCCCCAAACCGGGCAAGCCTTCGGACAAGCCAGCAAACTTGCGTCCTTTGGGCATTTTGAGACCGGATGCTAAAGGACTGGCTGGAGCGGCAAGAGAGGCGCTACAACCCCTGACCCTCTCGTTCCTAAAACATATGCCACAGTTTGCCTACCTTCCTGGTCGTGGGCTTTCAGATGCGCTGGAAAGAGTCGTGTGCCATCTGCGGGAGGCTCGGTCTTTGTTGGAGCAGGCTCATCCTACGAGACATGCTATACAGCAAGGCACACAGGTGCCATCACTAGTAGGCGGTCTGACCTTTGCTTTAGACCTAAGCCAGGCGTTTGACACAGTCTCTCGCCAAGAGATTATCGGTCTCCTTCAGCGCGAGGGGGCCGATCAGGACACAGTCCACCTCGTTCAAGCTCTCCATGACGGATCCAGATACGTCTTACATGCCCAAGGCGATTCCACTTCTATCGAAACCACAGCAGGCATTAAACAAGGATGTAAGCTCGCTCCCACCCTATTCTCGTTCCTCACAGGTGACCTCTTCCGGTCTCTGGTTGATCTGTTCGGTGCTGAACAGGTTCTGAAGTTTTTAACGGGCTACGCCGATGACCTGACGCTTCATAGGACTATTCGTTCTGAGAAGGACCTCAAGGCCATCCATGCACTTATAGCTGCCCTGTTGGAGGAGGTCCGCAAACATCGACTCAGAGTCAACATCGGCAAGTGCGTCATTTTGGTAAAGCTGGCAGGTAGAGAAGCACAAAATGTGATGAACAAACACAGCTGCTGGATTACCAACCCCAAAGGAGAGCCAGTCAGAGGGTGGCGCATCGGGCCCAACAAGTCGTTCCCTGCCTTCCAGTGGGTCTCCTCAAGCAAGTACTTAGGAGTTATGATCTCCTACAACCACTTCGAGTTGCAGACCCTGCATTTTCGGATGGGGGAGGCGAAGCAAAAGTTGCATCAAGTTCGCCAATTCGTCTACAACCGCAGGTATGCAAGTACCATGTCGCGCCTTAAGGTGTGGCAGAGTACTGTCCTGGGCACCTTGACGACTGGCCTATCTGACGTCGGTTTAAGCGAAGAGTCGGCCAAACAGCTTCGCAGCTGGCACGCCTACAAGGTACGATCGGTGCTGAACCTGCCGGCTCACACCACTCGGATCACCACTAAGGATCTTTTCCAGCTCTACAACATCCAGGACCCTGTCCACGCACTGCAGTCCAAGCTAAGGAAGCGGCTTCGCAAACTGGAGCGACGAGCAGTGCAAAGCCCGGACATCACGACAGACCCCTCGGTTCTGCAGGTTATCCGAGATAAGCTGTTGGTCCTGTCACAACTCCCTGAGCCCGAGGAACATCCGGTAACCTCATACGAGTGCACGCTCTGCGCGGCTTCATTTGAGACGTCAAATGGACTACATTTGCATAAGTCGAGGGTTCATCCGGCGAGCATTGACCGCTTTGTGCCTTCAAGCTTCGATAGAAAGCTCCACGCTGTGGATGGGATGCCGCAATGTGCGGCATGTAAGCGTAAATTCCATCAATGGAAAGGCCTACGTGACCACTTGCTTTCGGGGGCATGTCCGGAACCTCAGAAGCTCCGTTCACTAAAAGAAGCAGACAAACAGTCCAACCATCCCGATATTAGGACTCTCTTCCAGCTGAGACAGGACATTGCTCTGCTCCCACAACACCGCATCGCGGAGCTCTCGAGGACTGCGGATTCCAAGGTCCTTAATCATCGGTGCTTAACGTGTGACTTCTGGACTTTTGACCACACCAAAGTCAAGTCGCACTTTCGTCAGGCGCATCCTAAGGACTGGTCACGCCTACACAGGCGGGCTGTTAATATCTGTCAGGGCTACTCGCCCCAGTTAGCCAAGGGCCACTCATGTCCCTTCTGTGGCTACAAGGTCTATGACCGCAGACTGCATCCGGAGCAGTGTCCGGTGCTCTATCAGGTAAGCACGCAGTGGCTGCGAGGGCAGCCTGACGCGGACGTCGATCCCGTCGCCCCGCCTCCCAAGCCTCAGACAAAGTCGTTGGCCAGCTTTTTTAGACCTAGGTCGAATGGCACAGCCTCCAACTCGTCGAGCTCAGCTCGTCATCCTACAACAGACTCGAACCAGGAGTCTGTGGCGCAGGCCCCCAGGAACACAGAGCCACAGCCTACAGGCTTACACAAACGCGTACTGTCTAACACGGCAAACTCCTGCTACGCTAACGCTCTCTTCCAGGCCTTGCATCAAGTATCGAGCTTTGGGTATGATCTGGGTGCTTTTCAATCTGTCTTAACCCATCTCGGGGATGAGAGTGCCCCTAGACTTCTGAACTTGTTCGGCCTGTTTGAATTTCGCCATGCCATTGCCGGTTGGCGACTAGATGGCAGGCAACACGATGTCTCAGAATTTCTTCACCATCTGCAGCAAAAGCCCATGGGATCCCTTCAGCACACTCAGTGGCAGGGTCGTACTGGGGGAATCGTTGAGGAGTCGGATGTGGGAGTCAGTCCTCTTCTCCTTCCCCTTCCGACGGGACCTCTGTCTCTCCAAGCCTGCCTAAGATTCTGGGAATCGCAAACTTTTAGTCGAGCGCTGGTATGGGCCCCAGAACTCCTAGCTGTTGTGATTTGCAGATGGCAAGACGGTGTCAAGAATACCCAGCCGTGCGCCTGGACCGGCCGTGCCATGGTGTCCGTGTGGACATCCAGCGAGCACACTGCCCAACGATCCTACCAAGTCCTGGCAGGAGTTGCCCACTTTGGGGACTCCCTAGCGTCCGGGCACTACCGAGCCTTCTGGCCAGAGGACCCCGCGGATGCGAGATCTCAGGTGTGGATTTGCGACGACTACAAGCTTCCGGAGAGGGCCTCAGCGGCCTTGGTTCAATCACTTTCCCGAAACGTCTACATGCTTTTCTTGCAACGAACTCGTTAGCATCATCGCTTAAGGCGATGCATGCCGGCCCAACCTCGGCCCTCAGGGCTAAGCAGGGCGCCCGTGCGTGAGAAGCCCGTCGTCAATTTCATGTTGACGCAGGCCGCCTCACGTCAAGGCCAAGTGTGTCATGAGCGCACGCGGACATGCACACTCTGTAATTTCCTTACTCTCAATCAGCTCTTTTTATTTAGTCAGCTTCCCCCCAGCTCCCTTTGGCCGTCATGACTGCCTCGCCTGCTACTGCCACGAGCCCGGAGCACAAGCATCTGTCGCAGCCGGGTTGAAATGACAACAGAAGGCAAAAGTTGCCATCGTTGTCAACCCTTCCGCCTCAAGCTTCGCGATGCTCTCATCCGACACCCCAGTGTCTTTGGCTCGCGCTTTGAAGGCTGCCGCGCTCTCCCCAAAGGACATGGCTCCTAGTGCTAGGTTCACTCAAGATCAGTCTAGGGCCCAGCACGCCTTGCAATCACTTTTAGCGTCGGCGAGAATGCCGCTCCCTAGTGCGCCACTTTTTAGTCCAGCTTAGTGCTGATTTGCTCTTGCCCCAATATGGGCGCTTCGGCTAAGCACCCATTTTAGTACGGGAGCAATTAGTAAATGTCACAGACTCCTCAAATCCCGTATGGCACAGCCTCTGGGAATTCGGTGCTCTTCCGACGCTTTTGCAAATCTCTTCGGGAGCTGTAGAGCAGCGCGCTAGCCACGGCAAAATGCAGGACACTGCACTTCGCCTGAGCCGATATGGTCAATCAGCTGTCGGCTGTTTGACTCACTCAGCTCTACAGGAAACCTACCCAGAATAACGGAAGCAGTCCGAGGAAAGCCAAGAGCATGAGCGTCGCTTATTGGGGGGTAGTCACGACAAGCACTCCGAGTCGTATGTAGGTTTACGCACATGTGACCCTTACGGCCTTCTGTCTCCAGCATGAGTAATCCGTGTGGGACGCCACACGACGGATACTCTAGGCGCCGGCTTCGCCCGAAGTACGACCTAATTGCTGGGACAGGTGCACAGACGGACGCGTCTGTTCACAACAAGGTGGCGGAGGAGGAAGCCATAGATGTACAGTCTTACTCAACTGAGCAGTTTGAGAGGAATAAGAGCGATGAATGCTAGCAGATAACCAGTTTCACGAGTGCACGGGACCAAAGGCGCCCGCAAAGCGCAGAGCACGCTCGCGCAGCGTTCAATTGAAAAATAGTAGTAGTGGTAGTGGTAGTGGTAGTGGTAGTGGTAGTGGTAGTGGTAGTGGTAGTGGTAGTGGTAGTGGTAGTGGTAGTGGTAGTGGCAGTGGCAGTGGCAGTGGCAGTGGCAGTGGCAGTGGTAGTGGTAGTGGTAGTGGTAGTGGTAGTGGTAGTGGTAGTCGTAGTGGTAGTGGTCGTGGTGGTGGTGGTGGTGGTAGTAGTAGTAGCAGCATTATTATTAGTAGTAGCAGCAGTAGCAGTAGTAATAATTGGTAGTTGTCGTAGTAGTCGTAGCAGCAGCAGCAGACAAAGTATGTTCTCGGAAGGCCCTGTACCGCCGAGCACAGGCACGCTTCGAGCCGGAGAGCTCAGTTCGCGAGGAGTTTTTTTCAAGCCATCGTCGGCCAGGGGCTGTTTAAAAGCGATTAGTAAAGTATACTCTCATATATCTGCAGTCTGCTATACCCCAAGACCCCATTCTAATGGTAGGCAGGTTGTAGGTATAGTAGCAGGTATAGTCCTTGTACTATGATACGATACTATACCCCAGAATCCTGTTCTACCTGTGTTACTGCAATGGCCTCTATATTAGTAAACCTCGAAAGTCTTATCATAGAACCCAAATCGATCTTTAACCCTAAACACTAAACCCGTAGATCCTAAAACGTGATCCCTTAAAGGAGCCCTCAGTTATGGAACCCTAGTCTAATGAGTCGGACCCCCAGGCTCAAAAACTGCAAGGGCGCTTTGGACGACGTGGAGCAGCTCTTGCCGGAGCTGGCGAAGTCGCTCAGTCTTGCCTCGATGTTATAGGGGCCCCAATATGAACATGAGTAATATCATTTTTTCCGAGTTTGAGTATCGTAGAATCAGAAATTTACACCCATACCACCATCTAAGAATTCTGGCCCGTATACTACCTGCGCTAGCACCATTCTCACTGGTAGTACTACCAGTAGTCGTGGTGTCATCGTCGTAGTATTCGTAGTAGGAGGAGTAGTTGTGGAAGTGGTAGTAGAGCTAGCTAGGAGTAGAGAGAGAGAGAGAGAGAGAGAGAGAGAGTGAGAGAGAGAGAGAGAGATGGTGGCAGCAGCTACTTCCCTTGGCTGTGTGTGGAAGAGAAGAGAGAGAGAAAGAGAGAGAGAGTTCGTAGGGTGTCGAGAAATAACTGTGAACCCTCAACCTTTCATAGGACATTACACTTCACTGCTCTTTCAGGGGGAACAGTTATCGTTTTACACTCCCTCAATGCCCCATAACATATGGGGGGGGTCATGTGCCCGGGGGGTTTCGAAGCCCCTCATGCCCTGCAGAAGAAGAAGAGAGAGTTCTGCTGATGCTGAGGATAATGCTCAGCCTCATCCCACTTGCCGTTGCAAGTGTTCTTATCTTCGGCCAGGAATTGTCGAAGGGCGGTGATAGAATAAGCTTCATTGGAGGTGCTACCCTCAGCTCTGAGCAGCAACTCCGCACCTTCAAAGGCCTTGATCTCTGCCACTCCGAAACTTGTACTACTGGACACTCACCAACTAAGCTCCAAGCCGCAAGCCCTAAACCTTCCCTACACCCTAGCTCTGAGGTCTTTCCTTCAGGAAGCAACAATGAGAGTCTAAGGAAAGTAATGGACCCTAACTGCAACACTCGGCAAAAGAATGCTTGCTGTAGGCAGCTCTGGCTGGCTACCCCTAGTGGAAACCCCCAACTCCGCATGATTTCCATGTCACTGTGCAGCCCATATAAACGCCCTAGTTACAAAACTTTATGAACCTCGGTCACGCCCCGTAAGACCCTCATGATCCAACCCTTACAAAGCACCATGAAACCCTACTTTGCTCTTGCAGGCCCCTATGTTGCCCTGTTTGCTAAAAACGCCGTTATCAAGCCATTTGCAATCCTTTGAGCCTTTGAGAAGCCCTGAGAAACACAGACAACCCTCACAACCCTGAACCCTAAACTCTGAATTGTAACCCTTACACCTTAAGCTCAAACCCTAAACCCCTAAACCTTAAACCCCTAACCCTCAACCCTGAAGCCCTAAACCCCGAAACCCTAAACCTTAAACCCTAACCCCTAAATGGGAGTTTCCGAAAATAGGGGACCCTAATATAGGACCCTAAATAGTAGGATCCTTATTAGAAGGACCCCAAAATAAGGCACCCCCTGTTTTCGGAAACTCCCAAATCCCTAAACCCCAACCCCCAAACCCCTAAACCCTTATAGAATCCTTATAGATCCCTTTAAACAGACCCTTAAAGGAACCCTTATAAACCCCTAAAGTAGCCGGCAGACCGAGAGGCCAAGGCCAAGGCCTCAGACAAGGAGGCCCTGGAACTCCGCGAGAAGATCCTCGCGTCTGGGGCCCAGACATCTGAGGTCCCGGACCCTCCCTTAAAGGAATCCTAAACCCTAAACCCCAAACCCTAAACCCTAAACCCTTAAAGGAATCCTAGGGTTCTATACGGTTTAGGGTTTAGGGATTATGCCCAGAGACTCCGATCTCCCTGAATTCAGGAATCATATTCGGGATCCCCAATATGGGAGTTTCCGAAAATAGGGGACCCTTATATAGTACCCTAAATAGTACGATCCTTATTATAGGGACCCCCAAAACCAGGTACCCCAAATTTTCGGAAACTCCCATATGGTTTAAGGTATATTCCCTAAACTTTGTCGTAGTTGGGTAACATTTTACATTTTTATGGGTACTTAAACCCAATAAGGAATAAAAACGTACATTTTTAATCCTATCCCAACAATGAACTAGTAATTAAGGGATACTGGAGTCTCTGGAGGATCTGAGGTTCAGGGCTGGATGCGGGGTTCTGTGCAGTACTTCCCATAAAGTTGGAAACCGGATCAAGGCCAAAGAGTGCTGGGATGCCCTGTACATTGCTCTTAAGGATTGAGGCTATTGGGTTTCCAACTTTTTGGCTTCTACCGTAAGTCGAATTGGGTGTTAGGATTTTGTAAGGGTTTCTCTGAGGCTAGACAGATTTGCATGCGGGTTGTTTCAGGGTGAGAGTCTTGTAAGAGGGCAGAGGGTCTCGTGGCCTCTGTGTCTCAGGACGCAGAGTTTAGGTCCCAAGTCGAGGGTCCAGTTCTTGACCAAGCTTACATGTTTGTCTTTGAAGACGAAGATTGATGACGATTGTGGCGATGCCGGTCGTCGTGCTGCTGCTGCTGCTGCTGCTGTGATTGCTCCTGCCGCAGCTCATGATGGCGCTGATGATGATGACGACGGTGGCGATAGCCATCATGATATTGATCATCACAGTGATGCTGGTGTTGATGTTTATGCTGCTGAGGACATAAGGTATTCCCTGAATATACGGAGGGCCATGCCGATAGACAATGACCTTCACCGGTTGCGTTGCATGTCGTGTTGGATCTGTTAGATGTGCTTGGGTATTGCCATGACAACTCGTCAATGAGAAAAGCAATAGGCACGAACCTTGTGAGTATCTTATTCTACTAAGGTCGCGAAAAGCATAGTGAAGCATGTGTCCTCGCCTCTCAATCTGCGGTTATTATCGTGCACACCCATGCTATCTCGATGCTACATCGTTTAGGCTTTATATGAAGACGCCCACTCAGAGGTTTGCGCCCAGAGATCGCGATGCAGAATTCGTGGTCCAAGAAGTCGTACCCTACACTGATCCCTCATCCTAAAGGGAACTCCAGAAAGTTGGAATATGGTTTCAGGGTAGCATACCTTATAATTTACCATAAAGGGTTTAGGATAATCATATTCCAACTTTCTGGCTTTTACTTTATTCCTTTTTGACCCGAATGCTCTGGGGCCACTTTCCTCTTGTGCAGGCTGTCATCTGGGCAAAAGGAGCCTCCCAAGCAGGCAGCAGGGTTCTTTCGGGTTTCGATGGTTCTATGAAGCTGCCTCCCTAATCGCCCGAAAAGACTCCTGTCATGGGCAGGCTCGGAGATTGTCGGCGGAAGTTTGGCGGCCTCTGTTTAGTGTTCAGGGTTCACGTTGCAATCTGTCCCCTGTCCAAACGGTCCGCCCCAAATTCCAAACACCAAAAGTTCATGTCCTCAGACCGACGAGACCCAAACCAGGGCCCTAGTCTTCCCCCCAAAAAACTAAGCTTTCAATGTCACAGGAGGCCGAAGCGAAGCGGAGCAGCCCCAAGGCTGTTGGGCCCTCAGGGGGGGGGGTCTTGCCAATGTCAATGGTTTAGCATTCCTGGTTACAAACACAAATCCCTATTTTCGTCAACCACAGCCCCTGTAGCGCACCCCGCTCGCCTCTAGGCCCTTTGCTGCTGTGGACGGCCTTGAAGGCAGTACCATTTCAGATCCCCGGACCATGCAAGAAGGAGACTCCCTGCTACTGAGACCCTTGCAGGTTTTGTGCCCTTTTTTAACCCTAAACCCCTAAACCCCAAAAAGCAACCCATGCACCCTAAATCCTACGTCCTAATTCCTCAAACCAGAGGCCGACTAAGGGAGCTTTAATACGGCAACGATTCCTGAGCGGTTCAAGCAACAATGGACCCAAGGGCTCCGCTCCTTCGCAGGCTCTCCTAGGATCTATCATTAGGGGCCAAAAAGGCACATAAGCAGAAGCATTTTATGGGGGCTATCCCTACCTTATTGGGCTTCAATATGAGGGGTTTATATGGGATATCCCTATCCTAATTTTTGCCTATGTGCTTTTTTGGGGCCCCGTATCGGGGTTCCCAAAAGGGCCTCCAAGAAGGGGTGTATTCAACACCCGGAGCCCCAGCTTCTTTGGGGGTTGGGGTTGGGGGGACCTTGGCCTTAAGACGCCTGAGATCCCCAAGCCGCTTTGAGGCCGAGACGCCGAAGCCGAAGAGTCCCAGCGTCGCCCCTGCAGTGTTTCCTTTGCAGATGCGGGCGCTCTATGGGGATTGAGGGAGGCGCAGCTCTTGGTATTGCGCACGGAGTGTGGATAAGACCACCTCGGTTACAGGGCTACCAAAGGGGCGAAGGCGTTGCCTTTACAATCTTCCGACAAGACAAAGATGGAATCAGGCCACTGCCAGCACAATGACACAGCTTCAGGCACGGCAAAAGCCACCCATCTCTGACGAGGAAACAATCTAGCGCGAATCCGGCGGTGCCTCTGATGCTGGGTGCAACACACCACAACCAGAGGAGTATCATTAAGTGACAACATGGCAGAACTAGGGTATCACAGCAACCAGAGCCACGAAATCTGACCCCCCAAACCCAAAACCCCGGAACCGCCCCTGAAGCCCTAAACCCCCTACACTCCAAACCCTAGGGCCCAGGGGTCCCAAGTCCGATCTCTTCCCCGCCAGGCGCCAGCTCCCGGGTTCCGGCGCATGGAGATCGTGGAGGCCCCCTTAAAGGGAACCATGGGGTTTAGGGTTTAGGGTTTAGGGAGGGAGCCATGGGGTTCTATACTAGGGGTCCCCCTTAAAGGTACTATAAAACTCTATAATGGGCCTAGGCTCCCGAAGATCCCAATACCCCTTGATTAAGGAATAGACCTTAAGTCATATGGGGCTTAACATGATGATTTGAGGTATATTCCTGAATTAAGGGGTATTGGGTTCTGGAGGCCTGGCAGAAGCAGTTCGGCGCGTCCTTGAGTATTATGATTGTCAGCCTATGTCCTTGAGGATTATGATTATCATAGAGCTTCATAATTCCTAAGCCTGTGTTTTTTTGGAATACCCATGTCCTTGAGTATTAATTATGACTATCACGATACGTATGATACTGAGAAGAGTAAGAACTAAGTTGTTCTTATCGCACAGGCTGTGAGACTCACCCTGAAAACCGGAAGCCTCACTAGTTCCACTTAAAGGATCATGGGACTTAGTAAGTAGGGTTACAAGTAAAGTAACTACAGTTATAATTACCTATAACCCCAATTAATGTACTTATAACCCTACTTACTAAGTCCCATGATCCTCCAAGCAGAGTCGGCTAGCTGCATCTTTGCCTGGGAAACTCGCCAGGGTACTTAAAGGATCATGGGACTTAGTAAGTACATTTATAAGTACCCTAACTGGGGTTATATCCAATTATAAGTATAGTTACCTTATTTATAACCATATTTACTGAGTCCCATGAACCTTTAAGTAGGGGTCATGGAGGCTCGGTGCGTCTCTTCTTTGCGTTTTCGGGAGTTCTGGGCACGGGAGGGGCTTTCTGAGTAACCTTCAGTGTTGCCGTATCTGTAACGTGGTTTCAGGGGTAAGCTGCTACAGTATGTGGGCACCAAGTCTGCAAGGTTGTCTTGCTACTGCGATCGTCCTGCATGCTCCTGCAACTCGCTCGTTTGGATTCCTTCACTTCATTCCCACGCCGTAGCGTTAGCTTTGTGGGCCACCCTTGTTAAACTGTTAGGCCTAGGCTGTTGGGCCACGTAGCTGCAGGGCCCCCTATGTAGAACCATTCTAGACAAGAAGCCTCTGACGCCGGGGGCATTTCTTTATCAGGGTCTGCATGGCATGATATCACGGGCAGGCCAGCGACGACGAGGAGGACGAGCCGGTGCCGGCCGACAGCCCAGACGACGGCACAATCTTAGTGAAACCTCAGGGCTTCTATTTTTCTCCTTCCAACTATCGCGTTTCTTCGGACGGAAAGACTGCTTGGCAGTCTAGCCTCACCTGCCCGACCCTAAACCCTAAACCCTAAAGCCAGCCAGTGCAAGAGCATCCGGAAGCTTCCGGGACCATGACATGAGCCCAACATGTGCGCGAAAACTTTCAGGAGGACGATGGGGGGGGGAGTGCCAAGGTATCGGAGTTTGTACAATTCGTCATCTGGGAGGGCGTGGCCAGCCCGGGAAGGGAGAGAGAGCACGACTTTAGTAGCCAAGTCAGGGCTTGCCTTCTGTCGCAGATCGAGCATAAATCCCGCAGACAGCGATCTAATCCGCTTACACTTGATGTAAGAGCCCCCGTAATGTGGGAGCCTGATTAAGAACCCCGGGATCTTTCTTGGAAGTCTGTGCACGTATTCTAGGGCGCCAGGGTTTCTTAATGAGGTTTCTACATCAAGAGCCCCATCAAGGTTTAGGTCTAGGAGAGAACTACCCCTGTAGTACCTTTATCGGAACCTTTATAGATCCCGTTACTTAGTGGCTGTAAACTCAAGTTTTCAACTTTTGGGGTTCTTATAAATGAGGGACTCGGTTCTGAAAGTTTCAACTTTTGTTGCTTTGGGTTTTGGGCCAGTGAGCTTAAGGAACCCTAAAGGAGACTAAGTTGATTCTGCTTGGGGAACCCTTAAAAAACCCTAGACCCTAAACCCTAAAACCCTAAAGCCCTAAAACCCTAAACCCTAAACCTTAAACCCTTGAGTCTCCGGAAAAAGAGCACCGGAGCTGAGGCTGCCAAAAGCAGTGAGACGCCGAAGGTCCCGAAAAATGCGAGCTTGGGGCTTTCGGAAGAGGTGTTTCGGATTCAGAGGGGGTTTTGGGGCTTGTGGAGGGTTTAGGGGTTTGGGTTTTTTTGGGGGTTTAGGTCTAGGTTTAGGGTACGATTTGTGATACTTGGCTTTCTGGGTTGTTGAGGATCCCCGTGGCGCGGGGGGGCTACGAAGTAGGGTATTTCAGCCTTGCTGCTCAGGCCCATGGGCTGCGTTGGTTTTTAGGCTCGAGATCAGAGGCATTCAGAGAGCAGGTTGAGGTACCACAGAAAGCAAGCTATGGCAAAGGCTGTGCGCGTGATTTCGATCCTGGCCGTGGGAGTTTGCTTCTGCAGCCTCCCAGCCTTTGTGCCCGGGCCTGCTCGCCCAGCTCGCAGCATGGCGCCCGCAGCTGCAGGGGCGCTGAGCATGCTGGGCGCAGCGCCTGCTTTCGCGGACAAGATCGACGACGCAGCAAAGGTGCTGTCCGAGAAGTCTTACCCCTTCTTGAAAGAAATCGACTGGACCTCCGACGTCTATGCCAAGCTCCCCACCCAGCCTCCTCTCCAGGTGCTCAAGGCGATCAACACGATGTTGAAGATGGGTGCGTCCATGGACTCTGCAGCTCTGAAATCGGGTGTTCTGGCTCACAGCAAGGCCATTGCCGGCATGGACTCCAAGGGTGTCGCGACTCTTTTCGGGCCCTCTTCGTCCAGAAGTGCCGTTGGTGCCTCGGTGCCAGGTGCTTTGAAGACGTTAAACCTTCATCGAGTCGGAGCGCTTTTGGCTCATGAGGGGTATTTGACAGACCGCAACTACCTGTCAACCTGGTACAGCTGGCCCTCTGGCAAGCTTTCTGTTTTGGTGAGGCCTTCGGGCCCTCTTCGTCCAGAAGTGTCGTTGGTGCCTCGGTGCCAGGTGCATTGAAGACGTTAAACCTTCATCGAGTCGGAGCGCTTTTGGCTCATGAGGGGTATTTGACAGACCGCAACTACCTGTCAACCTGGTGCAGCTGGCCCTCAGGCAAGCTTTCTGTTTTGGTGAGGCCTTCGGGCCCTCTTCGTCCAGAAGTGCGGTTGGTGCCTCGGTGCCAGGTGCTTTGAAGACGTTAAACCTTCATCGACACTGCAATTAATGCGGCCATCGGGCATATGATCGCTTCGGTGCCTGCATCCCAGACCATGGACGTGTACAATGCTTTCAACAAGTTCAACCTTGGCAAGGACGTGGGCCCTTACATGATGTCCAAGGTAAATGCGGCGGATGCCAAGGCAGCTTACCAGGCATTGATGGACTTCAAGGATGTGGTCAAGGCGTCCCAGCGCTGAGCCTTCTTTTTTGATCCTCTTGAACATGCGCGAGATGCGTCGCATGATCTCATACACTTTCTAAGCGCATGCAGGCAGCTAGCCTGTAAACAAATTTAAAGGCTGCTGCCGCAAAAGCATTGTTCAACGATGACAACGTTTATCGGAGATCGCTATTTGTTCAGTCGGAAACAGCCCCAGCCATGAGTCATGTTGCGGTGTCTGGCGGTGCCTTCTGCCGCTAGGAGAGGCCGACATGCAGTGGTTGCAGTCCCTCGTGGTGCATGCAAGAATAGCATCTTGTAACACTGCGAACCCGGAGCCCCAAACCCAAGCCCCGACTATTTAGTTGCCCTAAACACCTTAAACCCCTAGGCCTACACCCCAAAGCCCCGACACAAGAGTCCAAAGCCTAAGCCCAAAAAGCCCGAAACCCCAAATCCTTCACCCTAAACCCCGAGAGCCCGAAGCCCTTTAATTTAACCTTTGACACCCTCATTCTTTGTGCTACGCAGGCGACGGGGACGGCCGAGCCCTTCCCCGACCTCAAAGTGGAGATGGGCTCTCAGTTGTCATAGTGTCTTACGTTTTAGCTGGGCATGCAACGATCTAGTTATAAGTACCTTCATTGGGGTTATAAGTAATAGCAAGTATAGTTACCTTATATATAACCCCAGTTACTAAGTCCCATGATCTTTAGAAGACGTGAGCAGCAGTGGTTGATAACGGCATCTCTCAGAACTCCGCGGCGCACCGTGAGCATGATTTGGGAATGTTGGTGGTGTCTGCATGGAAGGAGGTGAAATCCCGGGTTGACGGTAGGCTCGAGGGTTCATGGTTTGGGATTGGGAGCCGTGCCACAAGCGCGAGATCGACGCATGAGGGGAAATCTCCCAAGTCTGTGTTGTGGATATGGGTGGTTGACAATGTTAGGGTCTCCTCTTGGGTCTTCAGTAGAATACGGCACCTAATATTTAGGGTTTGCAAGAAGGGACCATAATTTTGACAACCACCCATGTGTCGAGCAAGCACCTTGAAAAAAACGACCGGAAGCCTGAACTCCGAACGGACCAACCAGAAGCAAATTCCCCGGTTGGCAGAGGTTTACAGTCACCTCCCTGGAGGAGGCTCAGCTTGGTCTTGAGGGTTACGCTTAGGGCCACACTGTATGGATTCAGGGACGGACGTATGGAGCCATACGACATTTAAGTTGAAACAGGCGATCCGGGCAGTTCCGAAGTTCGGGCTGGCATGTCATGCCTTCATCGGAGCATATACCTGCTTTCAGCAAAAACTTGAGGGATTTTTGCTTCCGGTGTGTGCATTCGAAGACGGCTGGAGCGCTAGTTCCCGTGTTGCTATAGGGGCCTTAATGGGGCCTAAAAATTAACCTATACTATGTTGGAGGTTCCCCATTATCAGTATAGTGTAATGGGCCCCAAAGCACTATTCTAATTACCAAGGCCCCTACTGTACATTATCCCTTATAGTAACCCTTACAGACCCCTTTAAAGGGACCCTACTCTAATTATGAAGCAGAGTGGGTCCTTACCACGACAGGGTTTAGGGGCATTATGAAGCCCCCTGTAGTAGTCTCGTTGTTCGGTTCCTTGCAAAACGAGGCTGAGCTGCCGCTTCCATTACTGCTGCCCACGGTTTAGGGGTTTAGGGTTTAGGGTTCAGGGTTTAGGGTTTAGGGGTTAAGGGTTGAGGGCAGAAGTAGAGTAGGAAACCTTTAACCTTTTCAAAGAGGGTTTTTGTTGAACCCTCTATGTACCCTTCAACCTTTTTTGGGTAGTACAGTCCCTATATGTTTTTGGGTAGTATAGTCCCTGTATAATGATACCCGACAAGTAGGCACAGGCACGGCGACGGCAACATCAACCATTGCTGTTCCGCTGCTGCCCTGATGCTGCCGCTACCCGCTACCACTACTGCTGTCACGATGAGCACTACCTTCCCACCACCACCACAACTACTAACACCAATATGTATCTACATATGGGTAGTTGTCAAAATTATGGTTCCTTTTTGGGTACCCTAAATATTAGGTACCGTACTATATGAGGGACCATAATTTCGACAACCGCCCATAGGTCGATTTAAAGGTAAATAAGAGAAGTGGCAGCAGCACTTTCAGGAACCCGGCAGGGCTTCTGCTTGATCTCGGGGTCCCACCTACCACGTCATCCCTGGCTTCAAACTTGAGCGGGCTAGTTTCGGTTGACATTGCATCCCGGTGACAGGAGATCGGCGCAAGTATAGGCAAGTTCGGATTGAGCTCCAGCAAGACATAGCCGCTGCAGCGTAGACACAGAACGGTAAACACTGGACTTGTCACTCAAAGGACCGCTCAGTGAGTGCTAGACTCGACAGATGCCGAGCCCACCCCAGAGAGCACCGATGAGCAGGCGAAGAAAACAGCAAACACCCTCTTTGCTGACGGCCGGGATCTCAGCACATCGCAGTGGTGTTGAAGTGGAACGATACTAGCGTTGAACATTTACAAGCGGTTCAGTCGCTAGAATATAGAGGATTTAGAACTCTAGCCTACTTCCTTTAACTGTTATCGTCTCTGGTTCGGGGACAGTCGAGGTGTTAAACACAAGAGCGTCACAGAACGCAGAAGACACATATTTTGTCGTTGATAGGCATTCTATAGCTGTTTCGAACGACTCGGCGAAGATCTGCACAGAGTGCGGTTGGGGGGCGCGGTCGGGGCAGCGGCGGTAGTGGTAGTGGTGGTGGTGGTGGTTGTTGCCTGACGGCATGATTTGCTGAGAATTAGCGACACTGATGGTACTAGTGCTGATGAGATGTTGCTCATGATGGTGTGTTTACGCGGGCAGTGCCGAACCTGCAGGCAAGACAAGCGATGCCGAGAGGCTTCGAGCAAAGGGAGTGGGAAAGGAGGGTCCTTGCCTTCCTCGCAGCAAGTTGCAGCTTCACGGTGACGAGCAAATCTAGTTCATACCCAGGCAGGAAGCATCCGTTCTAAGATATCCCGATGTCGTAGCCACTCAGCTCTTTTGCAGGTGGTTCTCGAAAGCCATATGGGTGGCGGAAGAGTCTGGAAAAATGAAGGAGGCTTCAAAGGGATATCGACATATTGACGTCATTGAAAGACAACCTGACCATTATCACCATTGTCGCCATCATCATCACCATCATCATCACCATCATCGTCATCATCCCCCATCATAATCACCGGCAGCGTCATCATCACCCTCGTCAGCATCATCACCACCAACATCATCAGCATCACCGCGAGCATCACTACCAACATCACCACCTCACTGATATCACATCGTCATCATCAGCCCATCATCATCATCGTCATCTTTACCATCAGCAACATCATCTGTCTACCACCATCATTGCCGCCATTGGTACCGGCATCTCATGATCGTCGTAGTGGCATCCTGTCATTTTGCCACCCTATTTGCAGCTGAAGGCCCTCGTTGGCTTCACCACGAGTTACAGCCACCATAGCTATGGTTACCGTTGCTATCTCGTCAAGGTATGGCATTGCCTTCTTTCATGATGTTGTTTGTTCTATCCCTCGTTCTATCCTACTCGGTTCTATGAAGGCACGGTTTCACCCTCGCATTATCTTGTGGTATCATATATTGTCTTCTCTCAGCTTATTTTGTTTCAACTGGTGTTGTTTTTCTTGCAGTGTTTTATCCTCCCTGCATTTTGCCTTCTCCGATCCTAATCTTATCTTTATCATATCTTTAGCTTTCGTTGACTGATCTCCTCTCGTGGTGTATTGTCTCATCTTATCTCCCCCGGTGGCAAATGCCACCATTCAGCAGCATCCACATCAGTATCACGGCGTTCTAACCATCACCACCCACATCATTCTCATGATGGTCATCGTCATCATCATTATCACCGTCATCATCATCACCATCATCATCTGCATCTTCATATTCACATTCATGATGGCTGGTGGTTGTAATGGAGGCAGAGGAGGAGGATGTGGTCGTGGTGGTGGTGACATGCAGGTGCTGGCGTGGTTGTTGTCAGTGCATTTACTGTTGTTGTGCTTTCTCGGTGCTGTTTCGAAGCTTGGTGGCGGTTTTGCTGATGGTGATAAGTATAGCATCACTCACCCGAAAATCCCAAAAAACATGTCGTAATTATTCAGGCTGCTTGTTTTGTAGTTGTCGTCGTTAACAGCAGTGGCAGCCGAAAGCTTCCAAGGCTTCAGGGTAAACAGTCGAGACGTTGTGCGCCGGCTTGAGCTCTCATCGATGCGTCCGCAACTCCTGGTAGCAGAAGAAGTTGAATCCTGAACAAGATTCCCACTGTCCCTGCCAAGCTGCTTTGGCAGCCTAATATAGTACCCGAAATAGTAGGATCCTTACTATAAGGACCCCAAAATAAGGTACCCCGAATTTCTCGAATCCCCCCTCCCCCCCCCCTGGCCCTGCAGGTTCCCGAGAGCTTGCGGTCCGTGCTCCATTCCAATCGGGCAGGGAGCCCGGGGTCTTGTCGAGGCGATGTGAGCAAGTGCCACCAGGAGAGCCCTGACATAAAGAGGGGCCTTTAGTATAGTCCCCTTTATAGATCCCTTATGGTAACCCTTATAGATCCCTTTAAAGGAGCCCTACACATAAGAACTAGGGCCCCTGCAAAAGTGTGTAACCTTGCTACGAAAGCTCTCATCGCGCCCATGATCTTCCTGGTGCTGCTCATGGCAGCGTGCCTTCTCTTGCGAAGCGGACTTGTGGGCTCAAGAGCGCCCCCCCCTTTTTCCCTGTTCCCCTAATCTTTCTTCGCTGCGATGCCAGTTCAGGCTCGCATCCTGTGTGAAATTCAGGAGCGCTGGGTCGCGTGCAAGCATGCATACCATGGGAGTCGAAACACTTTAAACCGCTACGCGATCCGGCCTCGCCGTGTGTAAGCGGGGCTTAAAAGGCAGGGCTCAGGGTTAAGGGCAGTGTTCAAGTTTCCTTACATGCGCCCCCATACACCCCCTATCCCTCTCCACCTATACACCCTTTTTCCCAGTGTACCCCTCAACCCCCTGTACCCGCCCAAGAAGCCTCAGCTGCGAAGCAAAACACTGCCATCCCTCCCGGCAGCACGTGCGTTTGCCGCCGGGGTGTATGTGCGTGTGTCGTTTTTGTTTGAGTTTTTTTGGTCGAATCCTGAAAGTCTCGTGGTTTTGCATGAACAGGACCATGTTTCGGAGCGTTTGTTTTTTCAATGTTTGTTGTTCTTGGTTTGCGGTGTGGCTTTTACGAAAGATTCGCAAATATCAGTGCTTATCGTGTGTTTTGCTTGAGTCTTGCGTTCATTTTTGAAGTTTTTGAAAACACTAGTTTTGTTGTATTGGTGGCATCTCAAAAGTAGCGTAGCAACAAGGGCGACAGGGAGCAACATGGCCATTGTCATTGTCATCACCGTACGCATCGTCATCGCCATTGCTATCTTCCTCAAAAACAATCAACATCATGCAAACAACATCAACATCATGAACATCAGAATCATCGTCATCTTCAGCATCTGTGGGCACAGAAGCCACATTCGCATGGACGTCATCAGCTCCCCCCAACCCCACATCCCCGCCTCCCACAACTGAACGGAGATCACCCTAAACCCTAAACCCTACATGGAAGTCCAAGCTGGCATGTGCGAAACGTCGAGGGTCGGCACAGTGCTTCAGGGAAATCACCGCAACAACCGATGCGAAATGCAGAGCGCAAAGGAAAACACGGCAAACACCTATGCGAAATGGACAGTGCCGGGTTTTTTGTGTACAGTGCAACCCTGAAATTGAACATGCTTTTTTTTGAGGAGTATGCTAAACTTAAAAACAGATGGTTCCCGAAACCTCATCCTAACTAAGGCCCCCCCATGATCGAGATCCGGGGGTTTAGAAATGCAGAAACGGACGCAGGACGAGGAAGTCGGATGCATTGTCGTTCTGATCAAGAATACTTTCCTGCACTTGGAGCCGCTGGCGCAAGGCTGGTTTGCTTCCGACGTTCGTGGGGCTTTAGGGTTTGAGAGCTCTAGGGGTTTAGGGTTTTAGGGTTTAGGGGTTTACGGTTTTAGGGTTTAGAGGTGTAAGGTTTTAGGGTTTAATTAGGGGTTTAGGGTTTAGGGGTGTAAGGTTTTAGGGTTTAGGGTTCAGGATTTAGTGGTTTTGGGTTCCCTAACAAATGGTCTGTCCCGAGCTTGATGGCCCGCCGGAGCTGACTGCTGGGCGTTGTGGCCCAGAATTAGTAGAATTAGTAGAATTAGTAGAATTAGTAGAATTAGTAGAATTAGTAGAATTACTAGAATTATTAGAATTAGTAGAATTAGTAGAATTACTAGAATTATTAGAATTGGTAGAATGATTAGAATTAGTACCGTTTCCGCCCACCACCCAAAATTCTTCAACCTTTTAAATCCGTTCAAACCGCCCCATGACCCCTCATCCGCGAGCCCTAAACGCCCTAAACCCCATACAACACCTTAAACCCGCTCGTCCCTACCACCCAAAGCTTAAACGTCTGCATTCCCAGACCTTGAAGCTCGAATAGCCCTTAAGCCTAAACCCTAAACTTTTCACCCTAAGCCCCACAAGCACTAAACCACCAAAAGCCCTAAACCCTGAACCCCCAAAGCAGCCCTACTTAAAGGATCATGGGACTTAGTAAGTAGGGTTATAAGTAAGGTAACTACAGTTGTAATTACTTGTAACCCCAATTACAGTACTTATAACCCTTCTTTCTAAGTCCCATGATCCTCCAAGTAGACCCTAAACCCTAAACCCTTATAGTACCCCTATAGATCCCTTAAAGGGACCCCTATAACCCTTCTTTCTAAGTCCCATGATCCTCCAAGTAAACCCGCAGGACCCAGCCGTTCGAAGTCAGAGCCCGAGCTGGCAACGCCAAAGCAGACGGGGAGGCACTGAGATGGAATCGGTGCAATACGGGAGTTTCCGAAATTAGGGGACCCTAATATACGAGGATGCCCAGTAGTACCCTTATTCCCTTTTTGTAGTCCTAGGTTCCTTTTAAAGTTACCCAATACCAAAAAGAGAGGCCTTTTTATTCTTGGGTTACTGGGTATCCTAGCTAATATAAGACCCTAAATAGTAGGATCCTTATTATAAGGACCCCAGAATAGGGTATCCCTAATTTTCGGAAACTCCCATACAGGGGCCAATCGGACTGGAATAGGGATTCGCTTAAGAGATCTGTTGGGGTTGCAAATGCGGGCTTTATGGGGATATAATGTTATGCGGGCTTCAATAATTTGTGTAGGGTGTTGGTGAACAGCATACTCGAAGTCAAGATCGTCTGTATTTTTCCTTTGCAGGGTATAGGGTGTACCTGATTTAACATATTTAGGGCGAAGTCCGGGATCCTTTCAGGGGGTTATATACCGGGGTAACCTAACTACCTGAGTTCTTGCTATGAGCTTGATTCAACAGGGTTGACGTGTTCATAGAGTCTCTGCAAGGTGTTAAGGAACACGACAAAGAGAAAAAGGGAATGATATATATATATATATATATATATAAGCTTCGATCCCCAAACAGTGGTAGAGCACCATGGCGACCATGACTGCGACGACACCACGACCAAGACGACCGCGACCAGGACTACGATGAGGACGCCACGACCAAGAGACCACCGACAGACCACCTGGAGACCACCCTGAGACCACCAAGAGACCACAGTGAGGCGACCACGAGACCATCTGAAAACCAGGGCTATGTACTGATTGGGCCACGATGCTCTCCCGCCTTGGCAGGATGCACCCAGAGACCCCAATATCACTTTCTGAAGTAATATGCCTTAAACTACAGTAGGATCCCTCATCACTGATATGATTTAAGGTTTATTCCCTAACTAAAGGATATAGAAGTCTCTGGGCATAATCCCCAAACCCTAAACCCTAGAGGGTCTTAGTAGTGCAAGCTCGGAACAGAGCAAGCTTCTGACTTTGCAGCTGCGGAGAAAGGGGCTACTGCACTTTAAGAAAAAACCCTATAGATTCGTAAGGAGCCCTAGGATTCCTTAAAGGAGCCCTAGGATTCCTTAAAGGAGCCCTAGGATTCCTTAAAGGAGCCCTAGGATCCCTTAAAGGAGCCCTAGGATTCCTCAAAGGAGCCCTAGGATTCCTTAAAGGAGCCCTAGGATTCCTTAAAGGAGCCCTAGGATTCCTTAAAGGGAGCTCCGAGGCCGACGGAGGCCCGGGAAGACTGGGCCCTGCGGGACTCTGTCCATCATACGTAGTAACTACACGTATTGTTAGGAAGATGAAGATTACTATTCTTTTCTTATTCTTAATGTTAATATCAGTATTGTTATTTTTTCTATTACTATTACTCAAACTATTACTATTACTATTACTATTACTATTAGTATTACTATTACTATTACTATTACTAGTACTAGTACTAGTACTAGTACTAGTACTATTACTATTACTACTACCATTACTATTACTACTACTATTATTATTGCTATGATTACCATTCTTTTATTGCTTATATTATTAGTATTCTCACTTCTGCTATTGTTATTGTTATTGTTACGATGATTATTGTGCTTATTAGAATGATTATTTGTCTTATTATTGATATGACCGGTCCTTTTAGTATTATCATTATTGTTATAGTTATTGCAAAATAGCTACCATTCATATTTACTGCCGTGCCAGAGCGGCAGCCGCGTCCAGTTCGGGCGCACCTCTCGCGCGGCTGCCGCAGACACCAACCAGTTCTCTTTCAGAATAGTACTGGATGTTAGACCCCTACACCACGTCATCTTGGGAATACTACTGGTAGGAACAATAGTACTAATTAAGATAATCTAACTCAAGTTCCTGAAGAGCGCCCGGTGACGCTCATTCGGAACCTTGCGGCAGGTCGGAGAAACTCGCAGAGGGCCAGACCAATTCTGAGACGGCCGAAATTCCTGTTAGGAATCAAGCCGCGGCAGTATGGGATGCGCATCGCGCCGGCAAATGCCGGCCGTGCAGCTTTTTTCGTGCAAGACTTGATGGGTGTCGACAGGGTGCGGCCTGCAGCTATTGCCACTTCTGCACCCCAGCAGAGGCCACGAGGCGCAGAACCCAAATCAACACAGCTCGTCGTAGAAAGCAAACGTTTCACCCATGAGACTTGTTTCTGTGCTTATCGCTTCCCCCTTTCATTAAACACCCCCTGATGAAATGATAAAGACGCTTTTCGGAAAACCATCCTTAAATCATGCCTTGGTTCAGGGGCGATCAGGAGCAAGAGCAGGATCAAGAGAGAGACAGAGAGAGGGAGAAAGAGATAGGGCAGGAGCAAGAGTAAGAGTAAGAGCTAGACATGTTTTTTCATGAAACAACATGTCGAGAAGGAACAAGAGCAAGAGAAGGTGCAAGCGCACGAGCAAGAATAGGAGCAAGAGCAACAGGCGAGGAGCAAGAGCAACAGGCGAGGCAGGAGCAGGAAAGGGTTTAGGGTTTAGGGTTTAGGGTTTAGGGTATAGGGTTTAGGGTTTAGGGTTTAGGGGGAGCGGGAGACGGAACAAGAGCATGATCTCGCAAAAGTGACAGAAGAGATAAACACACGTCCTGAGTTCCTAATAGCAGAACACACTTTTCGAGTTTTTATCGGGGCTCGCGTTAAATGTTAGGGGAAAGCGATCCTTGCAAAGCAAGTCTGGGCATCCGGTCGTTCTGTGGCTTTTGCGTTTGGTTTGGTTTATCAGGGTTTAGTAGGGTTTAGTAGGGTTTGGGAGGGTTCAGTAGGGTTTAGTAGAGTTGAGGGTTTAGGCTATAGGGCCTTGAGATGAGACGGGTGCGAAGAGTGACCACAAAAGAAGTGCTGGTCGCTTCTTCAGCGGCGAGTTGCGGAAGTTTAGTTTTTTGGCATTACATGCATGACATGAAGTAACTTCCCGGTTCTGAGCGTTTATGACTTCCTCAAGTTCTCCCGCCTGTGTTCTGCTGTGCTAATGTGTGTGGCTACATCAGCCCAATCCCATCATTTTGCTTCTATTATGGAAATAATGTCTTAGAAGGGGCCCCACCCTGTAATAGTGGCATAATAGGAATACAATAGGGCCCTATTATAATCCTTATAGTCACTATTACAGGGTGGGGGCAGCTCCTAAATAATATCAGTGTTCTATCCGGTCTGGAGCTCATGATCGCCCAGTCCCAAAACCAGCCGTAAAACTTCCATCTAGCAACCAGAGAACCGGTCGAATCCTAGTGCAAAGAGTCTGTTTACTCAAGCTCCTGCTTGGACAAATTGAATATGAGTTTGGGGTTGAGGGCTTAGGGGTATCATGATGCTTCTATTTTCACTACATGAAATGTGTATGTGAATCTGCGATTCGCATGTTTTGCACTGACCCCAGGCTCCGAGACTGACTCAATGTGTTGAAGACAGACAGTCGGATGTCTCTAATTTTTACCATAGCACTAAGACCCCAGCAACATTGTTTTAATACTGATATTTCAAGCTAAGTAGGAGCAATGTACTGTGTGTTCTCATGATTTCCATCTAAGTAATACTGCTTTACAGTAATCATGGTCGGATCCCCAAACCCTCAGCTAATGCTATGAAGATGCTGAGCTCTCGAGGCTTTTGCGCGACTGAAGTTGAAGCAGTGGTCCGGCGTGGAGGATGACTGCACCAAGGTCGCTGTTCTTAAACGCTTCAACAAAACCCCAAACAGCCACACGGTTTCAGGGTTTGTGGCTTTATGGAGGTTCTGATCTTCGTTACAAAGTGTCGCCTCGACAGTGCCTCCTTGAAAGGGACGAGTAGAACGAGCCCCCCCCGTCCCCAAACATGCCTCGCTGGTGGAATTCTTCGGCTGTGCCCACACCAGCCTTGAAGGTGACGTGAGCCAAAGCATGATGTGCCATGAGTCGTATACATATATATATATACACACATGTATACATGCATATGTGTACGTGTGTGTATGTATCTAAGTAAGTATGTATAAATGTACCTATGCATGTCCGTAGGTTCGTACGTGCGTACGTGTGTACGTATCTTGGTATGTACGTCGCACGTAGGTAGGTAGGCAAGTGTATGCATATGTGTATGTATATATATACACATACACACATTCATATGTGTATGTCAGAAAATGCACACGTTCACACACAGAGTGTGTGTTGTGATTTGTCTCTCTCTCTCTCTCTCTGCCTCTCAATATGTACACATGTGCATTTGCTGAGCAGATATCCATGTGCACACGTCGTAAACACATTGCTGCGTAGTGTCATGTCTAAGTGTATATACCCCAGAAGCAAGCTTGAACGTTTATGACAGATTGCTTGCGCCTTCTTGCTAGGCTCTGAGCCTCAACACGGGCAATGCCAAGGCATCGAGTTGCTTGCTTTGGCTTTCCGGGGCTGAATGCTGCATGGTACGTCACGGGTGGTTTCCTCAACCAAGGCCAACGTGCTGACCTAACCTGGTTCAGTGTGACAGTTACCGCGCTTTCGTATGAATGAACCTCTGCGTTGATTGGTAGATCGCTTGTTTTGTTTAGGGTTTAGGGTTTAGGGTTTTTGTTCATTCGTGAGGGGCAGCTGACGATTTCATTGCTTACACATTGCCTGCTTTGGTAACAGACGGTTTCACTATGACTATTCGATCGCAGGAATGTAGGCGCCTGAATAACTAGACTCGGATCTGGGGGCAGAGTATGGTACAAGTATACAGCGGACTGTAAGTGGGTATCAGTTCTGACATCTTTACATTAGGCACTTAACTATTCGGGCTATCCTCAGACAGGTCAGAAGAGTATTGTTGACAGCAACAGCTACTGCCACCAAACACACCCAGAATCGCAACTCGGAGAAGATCTGTGATGACTGTGACACCCCATGCTGGCGGTCACAGAATTCCCTTCGAAAGGATTTGCAATGCATCCTAGTCAATAAGCACTGCAATCTCCATGGATGACGGCATCAGAGACATAAAACTCATGGTGTTTTGATCCGTCATAGTTGCTACAGGCCTCAGGCTTGTTGTGGCCACCTGAGCCGGCCGAGATACCAAAATCACATGTCTCGAGTCGGCATATTAATACTAATACTAATACTAATATTAATATTAATAAGAATATTAATAGAAGTATTAGCTCAACGCCAAGGTTTGCAAGCAGGCATCCAGCAGTCATTTGTCGAACGAGTGAGTGACTAGTGCGAGTCGGAGGATGTCAGCAACAACAGTCATCGCGCCAGTAGCGCAGCAGCCGCCACGGAGCAACAGCTGGACCACCACCACCACCACCACCACCACCACCACCACCACCACCACCACCACCACCACCACCACCACCACCACCACCACCACCACCACCACCACCACCACCACCACCACCACCACCACCACAATGACCACACTCACCCCAACCACCACAATGACCACACTCACCCCAACCACCACAATGACCACACTCACCCCAACCACCACAATGACCACACTCACCCCAACCACCACAATGACCACACTCACCCCAACCACCACCACACTCACCCCAACCACCACCACCACCACCACCACCACCACCACCACCACCACCACCACCACCACCACCACCACCACCACCACCACCACCACCACCACCACCACCACCACCACCACCACCACCACCACCCACCACCACCACCACCACCACCACCACCACCACCACCACCACCACCACCACCACCACCACCACCACCACCACCACCACCACCACCACCACCACCACCACCACCACCACAACCACAACCATCGCCACAACCACCACCACCACCACTATCACCACTATCACCACTATCACCACTATCACCACTACAATCACAACCGCAGCCACCACCACTGCCGATGATGTTTGAGTACTCAGCAACATTATCCGCTTATGGTCCCTACATGCTTTGCCACAATATGCCCACTATTAAACGAATTCAAGCGGACTCCCAGAGACTCCAATATCCCTACTCAGGGTATATATTGATACTTTAAGTCATATTGTGGATCCGATTATATTTTAAGGTATATTCCTTAAGTAGCGGATATTGGAGTCTCTGAACATAAACCCTAAACCCTGAACCCTATAGATCCCTTATACACCCCTTACACTTAAGTATATAAGGGGCATTGGAGTCCTTGGGTGGACACCTCCCTTTCTGGCGGAGGCCTTGTACCGCCGAGCGCAAGCACGTTTCGAGCTGGGCCCCCTAGAGCCGGTAAAAGGGTCCGAAAATCGGTTCAGGGTTTAGGGGTTTAGGGTGTCGAGTTTAGGGGTTTAGGGTTTAGGATTTAGGATTCAGGGTTTAGGGTTTAGGGTTTATGGGTTTATGGGTTTCGGGTTTAGGGTTTAGGGACCCCTCAGCCGAAAGCCTGAATCCTAAATCGGTTCGGACCCTGGGTCTCTCTGACGACAAAACGAACCTGGAGTTCAGCTCCGAAGCAGTTTAGAAATGTAGGCACGTGATAAGTAGAAACCGTTGAGCCTCCTTTCCATTCAGAAGGAGTACACTTGCTATGGGCTTCTTTTGGCTTACGGCATCAGGGGTCTTCGCGGTTAGCCCATAATAGGGTAGGGGCCCCCATTAAGGTTGACAAATTCGGAGTTTAGGGTTCCATGCTGTGTGGCCTCGTTTTCCGGAGGTTAAGCCCGGAGCCTGAAACTTCAACTCTGACACCCCTTCTAGGACCCAGAGTAGGGCCTTATTCCCTTTTTGAGAGTTTCGGTTCCCTTATAATCCCCTTCAAACCAAAAAGGGCACCCCTTTTGCTCTTACGTTACTGTTAGGTCTAGCCTTTCCCCAGACGGTGAGCCAAGAGGCAGCAGCTAGAAAAGAGTCCCTGATCAACCAGCATTCTAAACCTGAAACCCCTAAATGAAACCCCTAAACCCCTAATCCCCCTAAACCCCTGAGCCCCTACACCCTAAACCCCCTAAAAGACACCCCTAAAACCCCTAAAACCCCTAAGCCCCTACACCCTAAACCCCCTGAAAGACACCGCAGAGTCTCAGGCTGAAGCAGCGACAGGGGGCCTTGGACGACGTGGAGAAGCTCTTGCCGCTGTTGGCCAAGCCCTGAGACTTTCTTCCGGACCGTAATACAGTGCTTTAAAGGGATCTATAAGGGCTACTATAATCATAAGGGGTTTATAAGGGTACTATAATACAGAGGCCTAAGTTATTTCCTGTACGATTTTGGGGGATCATGGTCCCATATATAGTACATAGCATGTACGAAAAAGAGGACACGTGTAGGCACATACATATGAAGTAAGCGCAACCGGAGTTTCTAGATGCTCTGAGGCCTGTCCTTATGTAAATGCTTGGTGCCTCTACTACCCCCCGATCCCCTCACCACCGTGGATCCGCAGGCCCCTGTGCACACCCCAAAAAGTTTGTGGCTGGACAGCTTGCTATTTCTGTTGCTGAATAACGTGCGTACATGCCCAAGTCCATGCATGCGTGACATACATGCCCAAACATACAGACATACATACGTACGTATGTACGTACATCCGTACCGACGGACCTACATACTCACGTACCTACGTGCCTGCGTACCATCGCGCCTACGTACCCACATACATACATACAAGCAAACACACAAACTAGCATCCATCCATCCATCCATCCATCCATTCATCCATCCATCCATCCATCCACCCACCCACCCACCCACCCACACCCACCTACCCATCCCTCCCTCCCCTCCCTCCATCCATCCATCCAACCATCCATCTATCCATCCATACATACATGGCATATATACATACACACGTTTTTCATGCCAAGTACATACATGCATACATACATACATACGCACTACATGTACTCTGCATGCACACACACACACACACACACATCTGCACAGAGACACTCCCCTATGTACGTGGAGGGTCATCCGTCGGTCGTTGCATTTCGCATAGATGGCCCCGACGAATTCAGAACACAACGCATTGGGATCCTACAGTTGGCCTCGTAAGCGCCACGTTTTCGGGCAGTCCAAGGAACAACCGTACTTCTCCGGCTCGTATGTTATCCAGGCCCCTCCTTCGGACAAGGAGGCTCGAGAGCTCCGTGAGAAGATCCTCGCGTGCGGAGCCCAGGGAGCATTCCGAGAGTTTTAGGAGATGAGCTCTAAACGGTTCACGGGTTTAGGGTTTAGGGTTGCAGTCTTGGGACAATCCAGAAGCGAATCACTTGTGGATCAACTACATAAGGCATGACGGCTCAAAAGATCTAAAGAGATCTGTACTGTCTTCAGAGCACATCAAAATCCTCTAACATACAAGGACCGGGGACACGCGGTGCCCTTGGCGAATAAACCCTACCAAGAGCCTTCCGAAATGGTGCACCAGCCTGAAATGATTGTAACGCCCGAATTGAAACACTATCACAGGACGCCACAGGCCTCATGCATAAAGGTTGCACGGGGAAATTGGCCCCTAAACAGCGGAGTGCGCGCCTTGGGGATATCTCCCACGGCACTTCAAGCCTCTTAAAGATTTCACGGAGAATATGTAAAAGACTTTACACTGCTTGTTTAGCGGTTGCCTACTCAAGGATAACTCTTGCCAATCAGATTCATGTGCCCAGCACACCCGAGCAGTTCGGGATCGCAGCTTCACTGGTCTGGCTTGCTGTGAAAATCCAGTGATGACAATAATGTTGCAAACGGCGAATGCATAACAAACCCATCGGTTGGTAAAGGGACATGTGCCCTAGGGATATCAATGCGGAGATCTTCTTGCATTATTCAAAGCCATTCCAACTGACGGCTCCAGAGGTCTTCTGCTACATCAACTCCAGATTTGACCGGGATGTTTGCACTCAAACGCGCTTGTTGCGAGACCTGCTGCTGTAAAGCACAAAGCTTCTCACGAAGACCAGACTCAATATTGTACGCAGACAACAGCTGAGCATGGTTCTGCTTGAAACTCTCACTCCTTTCACGGTTTGCTTGTTTGGCCTGCTTATCAGCCGCATCATTGTGAAAAGTGTATCACGGATCATGGTCTGCCGATGCCTCCTCAATACGCCTATGGCTTTTGACCTTCCAAATCTGCCAACGATTTGGGGCACCGCGTAATGCACACCAAGCACGCTTCCAAAAACCATAGTTCTCAGAACGCGCCCAATCATTTTCAACCCAACCAGGAAGTTGCAACTTCCGAAACCCATCCACGCAATACTTGCTGTCGGTATATACATATATATATATATATGACCACACCTTGCAACGAGTAAAGCTTGACAAATCGCGTACAGCTCCGCACGATTGTTCGTTTGCACGACCCCTGGGAGGCAACCAGATGCAATACATACTGAATCACGCTTACCAAGGGTAGCCGACATCAAAGACCAAGAACTGAAGGACAAAACACGTGTCTTACCATACTCTGTGGACCAATCCGTGAACAAATGCACCTCAGCCTCAGCATTAATGACAGTGGACGGAGAGGAACAGGAAGTGTATTGAGCATCCGGAAACGCAGAACCTGCGCATCGGGCACTGGAAACAAGCCGGAAACCCTAACAGCATTTGGTAACGAATCCAACCCGCGAATGTCAACCTCGTCGCGTATTGAACGAGTAGCAGGACACTCATAAAGAATATGCTTAGCATCGCCAGGTTGTTTGCACATCGGACATAAAGCGCTTTCCGAATTCAGGAACTTCGGTTTAACAGATGTAGACCGGATTGCCCCAACTGAATAATTGGCCTGACATGTGTTGTAGTGTTTTGAACCCCCAACATAGCACGACACCTTTCAACAGAAAAAGATGTAAGACCTTGAAACTGAATGTCCTCACGAATCAAAGGAATGATGGACCACACCCACGCGTCTAGGGTTTAGGGTTTAGCCTTAAGTACTGTTTAGTACCCGGTTTCGGGGTTTAGGGTTTAGGCCTAAATACCCTTTAGCACCCGGTTTAGGGGTTTAGGGTTTAGGCTTACATACCCATTAGTTCACCAGACAACCCCTGCACCCTAAGCCCTCGACACCAATATACGGGAGTCGGCAGAACAGTATCAGTATATGGCGTGTGCGTCAAGCAGCGAAGGTTGTTTCCGACAGTGCATGACCGTAGCTTCAACATCCAGTCTTGCGGCAAAGTTCTGCAGAGTTGGCTACGAGCTAGTCAGTGGAATGGCCGTGGGGAGGTGCTCAACGTTTCGCCATCGATCAGCATGCGTGCATCTGATCTTTGGCAGCATGACGCTTATCGCCGCCAGCAGCACATTTTGTGGTGCCGCAATTCTTCGTGGAAAGCTTTACAGTCCCATGAACATGAAGCGACTGCCCAGCACGTTCGCAGAGGCAGCGCACGATCCCAGACTGAGCAACGTCGCTTCCAATTCGAACATGAACAAGGGAACTATCCTCCAGGCATTCACAGAGACAGCGCGAGAAGGCCTTGCTGATCACGATCCCAGACTAATCGACAAAGTCGTTTCCAATTCAGACATAAAGAATGAAACTATTGTCCATGGCATGATTGCTTGTGAAGCCGCTGATGCCAGGTGGGCTTACAGAATATGGCACAAGTTTGACAAGCGTTCCCGCCAACAGAGTCCAGCCTATGCACGATTTCAGTTGGAGGATGGAGCTGATTGGGAAGGCAGCTTGGAGCCTGGAACTTTGTTCGAGGCACGAGTGGTCGACCGGGCCCCAAAAGCCGGTGGGAAGATAGAAACCGTCCTTTCCATGATCCGTTTGGGGCAAGGTGGTTCGTGGGATTCGTGATGGTGAGGTGTGGCAGGTAGAAGTTGCGCATATCGGAAGCTATGGCGCATCTGTACGGACTGCAGAGGGGCTTGTTGGCGTACTCCCAGCTTCAGAACTTGGCAACTGCGAGTACGGGCCAGGATCTACTTTGGCTGTGACCATCAAAACCGTGAGGCCGCAGTTTTGCAGACGGACCAACCCGAGGATGAGCCGCCATTATCCCATTGTGTTTGCTCTTGACCAACGTGAGAACGCAAGTCCTGAGCACGATGTAGCCTGGAATGAGCTTTCCCGCATGTACGAGGAGGACAGCAATCTGTCGGTTACAGTGATAACACCAAGGCTGCGAGGGAGGGCTCTGACTGTGATGACTGAGGATGGACTGGTGGGATACATCACCCCGCATTGTTTGGCGGGTACAGCAAAAATTGAAAAATAGCGCCTGAGCGACTCAGCTGCATTGAGTGTGAACGCAGGCATCAGTGACGTAGTCGAGTCAACGACCGTGAATTCCAATTTGAGGGCCCCACAGGGGCACAGCAGCTCCGGGGTAAAATCCGGACATATCTCATGCACATGTCGCCTACGGCTCAAGATCGATCTTGACGAACTCCTACCCTTTGGGTGCCACGAGTCAATCAGTCTCACCACTTCGGGTTTTGCCAAGTGCAGTGTGGCGAGTGCCACCAACCCTCCACGGTGCCTTCCAACCTGGCTTGTACTCTGGCTTGCTTTTGGCAGTCTCTGCTTAGGGTCCCAGGTGTTGACGGGGTATCCTTCTGGGTATCTTCGTCGCCTGGGGTCCTGGGAGGCCTCGTGCCGGATAGCTTTCTGGGTGGGCTATCGGGCGAAGCTAACCTGGCCTTGGATCTTGAGGGGTTCAATTGGTGACAACCCCAGAGACCAGAAAAACCAACGGCACAGTATGCGGCGATGGGCGTATAAAAGGCGATGTAAACAGCGCAGTCTTCGGAATCGGCTCATTTTATTGGCTTTGCGAAAACGACGAGCGGCGGCTAGAGGGGTCAATCGACAACACGTGTGCAACTGGAAGTTCGGGAGTTGGAATGTTCGGCAATGGGGGGCAGTTGATGTTCCATTTGATTTAATACGCGTTTCAGGGGAGCAGGGGACATGTCCCACTGCTAAGGCCTTGCACGTCTCGGCCTAGGTCCCGTGTTGCCACGAGCAAACGAGGAAACGCAAACCTACTAATGCGGTCTGTGTTCAAAATCATGGCCTGCGACACCTAGGTGCGGAGTTGTAACACCTTACAAGCGCTCGTAGGAAATAGAAGCCTTTAGCCGCTCAACATGCAGTCGATGCCCTTGAGCCATGTTTTGTCTTTTGCTTTCAGATGCAGATGGTTTTTCTGGGAGGTGGGCCGCTTGGCTTTGTTAATCTGTCACACGGTCACGCAGCTAACCGAAACAGGCGGCTGAACCAAACACCTTATCATCTATCTATCTATCCTTATTCTGAGCTGCCGAGGGAGGGAGAGACTTTGACTGTGACTGTACTCAGGATGTTTCCCGAACACAGGGGTCGCCCCAAGAGAGCGTCGTTGTATTTTTCTTGGATTTCACCGCAGATAATTGCGAAGCAGTGCCTGATGAACAAGCTTGAGGAGGGGGATGTCGTCGATGCCACAGTTGTGGCCGTCGGCGACTACTCCTTGACAGTTGAGGTCGAAGGTGCTAGGACCGAAATCGGCAGGGTCGATGTGTCCCGTGGACGAGGATTCGACCTCGCGGAGGTGTTCGCGATTGGCGAGCAGGTCAAGGCTTACTATCATGGTGACGGTAGTTGTGGTCTGATGCGTTTTTCTTTGGCGGCATTGGAGCGATGTCGAGGTGAAATTCTCCGAAACAAGACAAAGATGTTCGAAGAGGCTGAGGAGACTGCCCACAACTTTCTTGCAAAGCATCTTGAAGCCCGTAAGCTCCCCTGGGGGGACGATGAACCTTGGTGACCAAGCTTCCGATGCTCACGGACTACAGTGACTACAGGGGCTACAGGGGCCGGATAAATGAACAAGAGCACTCCCTTGCAGTCCCTTTGTTACTGTACTGTACTGTGATGTCCTCCTGAATCGTATCTTAATTACAGCATGAAGTCCTTTATATTATCAGTAATGTAGTTATGTAGTCGGTGTGCTAGCCCTAAGGCAGACTGCATTGAATCCTTCAAACGCCTCCTGTGCAAGCTCCTGATAGGCTTCAACCCATCCCAATGAGAGGCTTTGTGCTAGCAGGTAGGACTGCTATCCCCACCACCGAAAATAGTGTCAAATTGTACTTAATGATTGCTGCGGCAATTCAGGCGCTGGGCTCAGTTGCTGGTCAGTGGAGAGAGGGTCGATGTTTGGTTCGAGCATTAGCGTAGTTAGGCAATTCGGGGCTGGCTGTTGCAAGGCCCATGTCAGCTCGCTTCGTAAAGCTTTGCGACTTTCTCGGCTCCCCTCCCTGAGAGGGCTGGGGGTACAGTCCCGCGGCATGCTTCGACTGATGAGCGGGTTGAAACAAAGGTTGCATCGAAATTTGCCTTATTCAGGAAGCCCAAATCGGAAGTTCACAGCGATTGAGATGAGGAGCCCTCAGATTCGGTGTGTTTGGCGGAGAGACAACGACTTGAAGCTCCTAGTTTGTGTCAGCATCGACTACTAAGAAACATATGAGCGCCGAGAGATGCTGCAATCATTCAGGCTTCCATGACTTTGTTTAGAGGGGCTCCTAGGATTAAGGCTTTGCCTCATCTGTTGGCAAGACTGCTGTTCTGTTGAGTTGCTTTGCACTTTTGTCACGCCCGCTGGCATCGTCTACCGGATTCAATAAGTTGCGCGGCGTTGTGACGAAGAAAGAAGTCTGTGCTGTTTATGCACGTAAGTGTGCACTGCTGGCCTAGCGTTTAAGGGTTTCTGTTCTCGTAGTGATTCTGCTTGGCTAGCTAGGCGACGACTCGTTCGCTGCGTCCTGAAGGAGATGTATGATGTATGTGTGCATACATATATATATATATATATATGTATTTATACAAATATATAACACATGCAGATGTATACATGATCTTGCTACCACACACGGAAGCTGCAACCCTTCGGTGCTTGCAGGTTGCCTGTCGAGGGGGAGCCACCCAAAAAGGCGAGGGTTGTATTCTTGCCAGAGAGGGAATTTAGGGTTTAAGGTTCAGAGTTTAGGGTTTAGATTCATGGTTTAAGAGGCCGGTGAGCCTCAAACGATCGTCCACGCAGTCGTAGTTGGGGCGGAGGTGTGAAGGCCAAGCATGATCGAGCTTGCTGCAGCCAACAAAGCTAAAGATCAAGGTTCAAGCGGCGAGTCGCATGCGAGACTTTGTAGGCTGTTCCCTGCCGCAGATTCGGGCCAACATCTGAGATATGTAATGTTGATCAGAAGGATAAGTCTTTGATGCCGAACCTCGGCAGCCACGGCTAGGATCAACACATGGGCTTTATCAAGCATGAACGTGTGGTGATCTCCGGCAGCACCATGTTCATACATATGGGTGGTTGTCAAAATTACGGTCCGTTTTTGGGTACCATAAATATCAGGTGCCGTATTATAATAGGTACCCAAAAAGGCACCCTAATTTTGACAACCACCCATATGTAGAATCGTGCTTGTAACTTGATTCTGCCTTTTCATGTCCCGGCTTGCTACCACATTGCAGAGTATGACATGCTGTTTGCTTTCCCCATACGTCTCTCTGTAGTGTCGTTGATCTGCACGGAACTAACCAGTACCAAGGGTCTTAGTAAGCTTTCCTGTTTCGGTGTGCGACGACTTAGACAGTGCATTGAACTTTCATCATGCTACCGGAATCTTGTTGTCCTAGTTGGGAATCTAGCCATCCTGGTGCCTGCCAGAGTCCGTGGACCCGAAAACCTAAAGGACCTAAACCCTCCTAAAACAGGCTAAAACTCAAGCCTCAACCGTGGCACGCCCGCACAAGGGTGATCGGCAGGACCGTGGAGAGGTAGTAGCACACACTGGCATGCCATCGGGCGAAGAGAGTTTCGAGCAAAGGTGTCGGGGTTTGGGGTTCGGGGTTTAGCATGTTGGGTTTGGGCTTACCTTGTAGGGCTTACGGTTTGGGAGCATCGAGGAAAAAGCTGACTTGCTAGTCCTCTGCAGATTGCACTACTGCACTCCGTGGATGCGAGTAGCCCTGGACTGCTACCCAGAGAGCCCAAGACCGCTTAATTAAGGAATATAGCTTAAATCGTAATATGAAGCCCCTTATAATTTCAGGTATACTGCTTAATTCAGGGGTATTGGAGCCCCCTAAACCCTAAACCCTATAGATCCCTTATAGATCCCTTAAAGGAACCCTAACTATTGCTTAATTTAGGGGTATTGGGCTTTCTGGGTAATTCGCCAGACAAAGCCGCCACCGCCTCGAACCTTTAGAGTTTGAGATCCCCAATCCCGAAACGAAATCACCCCCAAACCCTTAGTAGTGCATAGGTTTTTTTAAAAAAGCCCATAAAACTTTTTTTTAAAAAAAAGCTTTGGAACCCCTAAACCCTAAACCCCAAACCCTAAACCCTAAGCCGACAGATACTGGCTAGGTCTCCGCTAGTCTGTCTTTACAGTGTATGTCTGTAGAGACAGACTAGGGGGACCTAGCCAGTACACTTAAAAAAAAAATCGACCAAGCAAACAAGCAGTGCTTGAGTTGCACCCCCGGTGCCAGGCCGAACCGAAGCCGAGCCCGAAGGCCAGACCTCGCAGCTCCAGATGCAATGCTACGGTTGATGGTATAAATCCTGGGGTTCCTTTAAAGGGAGCTATCAGGGTAGTTTTAAGGGGCCCCTTTAAGGGATCTATAGGGGGTTTAGGGTTTAGGGTTGATGATATAAATCCTGCATTACCCATAGTAAGGAATATACCATAAATTTCATAGTTTAGGGTCCCTAAGGTCATGCAGGATTTTGTCCATCAACAGCAGTACGAGTAAAAGTAAGAGAGGAGTATCTCCAGCAAGAATCGCAAGAATAGCAGCAATTATCACATGAATCTTGCTAAGAACAATGCTGCGAACTATTCACAATATCAATGCATGCCAGCAACGGTATCAAAAGCAACATTCACCTGATATTCGAGGCCTTGAGTCGAAGGGCTGGAGCTTTGCGCCATCGGCAGGAGTACAGGTCCAGCTTTTACACAGCCCAAAACCCCATTCCAGGTATACAGGCTGCTGAATTTGACCTCTAGGGGATGTCGCCTCCTGCGTTTATGAGCACGCAATCTGACGGGATTGGATGCGGATAGCTCAGGGCAGACCGGGTTTCGTATTTCTGGGTGTCGGTCAGGGGCCAGGAGTTTCACCGAAAACCTGCATGTTCGAATCTCGGGCTTCAAGCATGTGGGAGTTTCCGAAAATTAGGGGTCCCTTACTTTGGGGCCTTATGATAAGGATCCGGCTATTTAGGATACTAGATTAGGGTCCCCTATTCTCGGAAACTCCCATGTCTCGTTGTCATCCACGGAAGGCTGCAGCGGAGCCACCGAAAACCAGCAGCCCGAAGGCGGGACTGGATCGGGTTGGTGGTCATGGGTTGGCAGGTCGTGGGCAGTCGGTTGTAGGTCGTCGTCGCCCTCCTTGTCCTCCTTGTTGTCGTCGTGTAAGTAGTCGTGGTCCTTGTCGTCCTCGTTGTCTTCGTCCTAGGTTCTTGAGTAGCCCGGGAGGTTACCCTTTTTCCTAGTAGTCTGTTTCAGGAAGGAGGCCCCAAAATAGAAAGGGCAAAAGTGTGCCACTCAAGTACCGGTGGTAGTACTACTAGCAGCGCTTGAAGCATCGCGACTGCCGCAAGTCTCAGTGTGCTTGAAGGACCCGGCCTTCCAGAGATCCTTCCTCTGGGGTTTGAGCTAAATAGGGGCCCAAATAAATAGAAGAGGATTCCTCCTTGACAAGGGGTCTATACGGGTTACTATAAGGGATCTACAAGGGTACGGTAACAGAGGGGCTTAAGTAACTACCAACACTATTTGGGGGCTTCCTTCTTATAGTTGTAGTATAATGGGCCCCAGAACCCTATTCTAATTATTAAGGTATTATAGTACCCTTATAGATCCGTTATAGTAACCCTCATAGACCCCTCTAAAGGAACCCTATTCTAATTATTTCGGACCTTAGATATGATTTCTGGCTGAAGGATTCATGGTCCGAGGGCTCGAATCTCGAGTGCTGCATCTAGGAATCCGGGGGCCATGGCAGAAGCCGTAAGAATAGTCCTACGGAGCCCTGCTGTTACGTTGCGATACTGGCTTCTTACCCTTTTTCCGAGAGCCACTGCATACCATTGATGCCCCTACTTGTATCAAAGGGGAAAAGGAGGGACCCTTAATGGGGACCCCTACCCTATAATGGGCTATTTACTGGGTGAATAATAGCAATATTAAGGGTATATACCTAGGGGTCCTTATTAAGGGTCCCTCCTTTTACCCTTGGAACGGCGGAAGCCCTATGCTGCTTTCTGACGCTATTGGTGCCACTGCTGCCACTGCTGGTGCTATTCCTACTGCGGCCCCTACAGCCACTACTGCTGCTACTACTGTAGACCCCATCAAGTCATCCAAAACAAGCAAACAGGGCGCCGATGAGATTGCAGTTGGGGGCGGTGGACATGGTTTAGGTTAGGGTTCAGTTTTTGAGTCAGAAACTTCTTCGTCATGCCTAGCATCCGTTTTCAGCCATCCGCCCTGTTTCGACAGCTTCAAAAGCTTGAACAGGTACGTAATACAGAGGTCTGACGAGACAGTGGTGGCAATATCCTGCTACACCTCCCGTCCCGCGCAACATGATCCGAGGACATACTTTAGCATCCTGTTGTGACGATTAAGACCCCTACATAAACATGGAAGGCAGCGGCACCAATGCCCAACGGATCCAGCGTCGACCCTCCGGTGTTGAGCTGTGCTTCTCGCAGGGGGTCAGCGGTTTCGGATTTAGGGTTTGGTTCCAGGCGCGGTTCGGGGCATCGGTTTGAACGTCCAGTTGTCGTGCAATGTTTGCAACTTCTGCGTTCTGTATGATTGTCTGAATTGTCTGCTAGGACCGCTGGAGAGCGTAGGGTGTCTGCAGGAGGCAAGTAGGATTGTATCCAACAAAGGTACGCCCTAAACCCTAAACCCTAATCTTCTATTCCGGACATCGAGACTGCTTCTCGTACCCAGGAGGCTCTGAGGCCTTTAGTCTGCAGAGGGCGAACAGAGCACCCGAGATTAACAAGAGCTACCCAGCAGCAATAAAACCGAGACCCAAGGAAGCCCTACTTGGAGGATCATGGGACTTAGTAAGTACAGTTATAAGTACCCTAACTGGGGTTATATCCAATTATAAGTATAGTTACCTTATTTATAACCATAGTTACTAAGTCCCGTGAACCTTTAAGTAACCCGAACTGCGATGCCGAAATCTTCGAACCTTCGTGTCATCTCTACTCCTCGAGTCGAACGGTCCTTGCCCTGTGCCAGGAGCCAGCCCCTGGTTTCAGGCGCATGGAAATCGTGGAGGTCCCCGGTTTGGGTTAGGGTGGTCCAGGGTTTAGGAGGGTTTAGCTTTGGGATGCAAGGTTACTCAGGGCGTGAGGTTAGGGGCTCTTAGGGTCTTGGAGTTCACGTTTCAGGTTTCGGGAGTGGAAGCTGTGGAGTTTGGGACTTTAGATTCGTGCATGCATTCATTTCTGATTTGGGGGTTCCTTGATCTAAGTATATTATAATATCCCAAAGCCCTATTCTAACCAGTAAGGCCCCTGGATTGCATGCATTCCTTTCAAAGGTTGGCGATTTTGGCAGGGCTTTGACTTGTTGAAGTGTCTGGGGTGCAAGGGCCGATGTAACATCGGGGCCTGAATACGTAGTGAGACTATTCCTTAGGGTTCCGCACTAAACGAAAAGCATAGTATACCCCGAATCCTTATTCTAATCATTCAGGCCCCTAAGATAGTCGGGTAAGATGGTTTTCCCTATCTGCCGGGAGGCCAGCGATGATGAAGACGACGAGCCGGCCCCCGCAAGGGTCTCAGAGGATTCGTCTCTCACCAGTGTGATCGCGAGTCCGGGACAGCCGGAGAGGAGCAGGTAGAAGTACGGGAGCTCGTTAGTTACTTTGAGTGCCTCAGCTATGCTAAAGCCCATGTTGTGCCTTGTACCGAACCCTGAACCCAGAATTGCTCAAAAACTTGAACGCACTTGACAGCCTCACAGTGCAGGTCAGCAATGGCAGCGATTCTCCAAAGGCACAGGGCACCCAAACGAAGTAGCAAAGGTATCGGGGCTTGCAAGGTTTATGGGGACACACGGGGACATCTAACCCTCAGTCCTAAAGTCCTAGCTTTCCTCGCGGTTGCGGTCATGGCCCCGATCGTCGTCGTAGTCGCCATCGCTGTCGTCATCGTCGTCGTGGTCGTCGCACAAACAGCTTGTTCGACATCGGCACGGGCATCAGCGCCAGCATCTGCACCACCATCAGCAGCAGGACCATCTGGAGTCATGAGGCTTGTATCGCCCACAATGTCATCACTACCAACAGCAGCAACAGAGCCAATCACGGCAAGGACATCGTGATTCATCATGCTCAACGTCGGTGCCATCATCATCATCATCATCATCATCATGATCATCATGGTCATCATGGTCATCATCGTCATTGTCGTCATTGTCGTCATCGTCGTCGTCGTCGTCGTCGTCCTCGTCCTCATCCTCATCACCCCCCATCAAACCCATCAAACCCATCAAACCCATCAACCCCATCCCCACCATCCCCACCTTCACCACCATCACCACCATCGCCACCATCGCCACCATCACCACCATCACCACCATCACCACCATCACCACCATCACCAGCATCACCACCATCACCACCATCACCACCATCACCACCACCACCAGCGCCATCATCATCATCATCACCACCAACATCATCATCGTCATCGTCATCCGTCTATTCGCCGTTGTCGGGATCACATTGAAATCCCAAGCCCACCATCGTGGGAAGGCAAAGGCACCGGCAGAGCCCTACCCCGACCTGCACATAGAGCCTCCGCCTCAGTCCAGCATTTCTTGGCTTAGCCCTCCGGGGTTCGACCTTGTGTTGCGGAATTTCGATTGGCCAGTTGAGAAGCATAAAACCTTCACTCTTTGCTTCAGGCCCAGATCCTGCACAGCCTTCAACAACCTTACGACTCCACACTCCCACACAAGCTTGTCTTGTTGACCAAAGAAGCTTGCTGGAGCCTGCGGAAAAGGCGGCTCTTTACAGGACATAGGGTCATGGCAAAGCCACGAGGTTCAAGACCAAGGGGTGGAGTTTCAGTTTCAGGGTGAGTGTATCTTGTTTCGGCTCGTGATTCCGGCTTTAGAGATCCTCTGTGCTTTTTCAATGCGAGCGCGAGCCAAACAGAAGGACCGACTCGCCTCAGCAAACCACTCAGCCGGTGCTGGCAGCGCCGGTGGGCCGGCTGTAAGCGTTTGCGAGAATCCGAATTAATGATCAGCCACACAGTTTAAACGGTGGTTAAAGCCCTATAGAGCATATGGGTAGTTGTCAAAATTATGGTCCCTCTTTGGGTCGTTATTATAATACGGCACCTAATATTTAGGGCAACCAGAAAGGGACCCTAATTCTGACAACCACCAATATAAACCCAAAGTGCTAGCCTTAACCCGCCGCCTGCGACAACCTTCCAGACTGATTTTCGTGCTTTTGAGGTTCACAGCTGCTGGCCTGGAGAAGGTACCTGTCAATCGTAGGGTTTAGGGTTTAGGGTTTGGGGTTGAGGGTTTAGGGTTCGGGGTTTAGGTTAGTAGGGAGTAGGGCTGGGCCTTTAGGGTTCAGGTTGCTTCGGGTGAAAGATGGTCCTGTTGCTAGATATTTGTTTTTAATATTTGTATTAATATTATTATTATTATAGTCTGCTAGAGGATTCACGACTGCTGGGGTTCAATTTCGAAGGGCTTCCCCCGTGATGTAACATAGGGGCCTTGATAATTAGAATAGGGTTTTGGGGCCCATTAAGTTAGCAGAACCCTTGCCCATTGCGGGTAATAATACCACCAGTCGACCCATTAGACGATTATTCCTATACTCCCCCTACACCGCACCAACTATATCACCACTACTGCCCCATTACCAATACCAGTATGGGAATAACCGATTACCTCATCCATATAAGAGGATTATTCCTTTACTCCCCCCTACACCCCACCCCATATATCACTACTACTTCCCCATTATCAATACAAGTATAGGAATAGCCAACTACCCCATCCATATTCCCTAAGGTGGTATTGTCATCCCAAAATGAGCACGGCTAGGTTTGTTCATCTATGGTTAACATTTGCCGCGCTGGGTGACACCGTGCACCTCACCATCACAGTATGCCGCCCAAAATATCCACTACACTTCACTTTAAAGGCTGTGGGTTGGAGTGCTGGCAACGCTTTACAGAGAACCATAACTCGAGCTTTTGCCGCCGTGCCAGTTTTTGTTCACGTCAGCAAGAAAACGTTTTCTACTTCATTTTAATCACCTTGCACACTTCAAGCTGTATCTTCTCGATTTGAGCATGCAGTCCACACAGACTTGAACCAGGTTTTGCCATTTGCCATGTCGCTGCCATGAAGCGTAATACAAAAAAACATCCGTGCCTCGGGCTGTCAGCTCTTCCTTTTGTGTGGGTTCTGGCGTGCTGGGCTCCAGCAGCCTCGTAACACATGTCATTCCACATCGTCGAGACTTTGTCCGGATGGCTGCAAGTGAAACACAGTGGCGGTGTCAGCCTGGTGGAATCAATCGCAAGTTGCAAGACTGTTTTCAAGAAAACATGCAAGCGGATGCAGTTCCCTTGCTGAAGGATTACGGGACATACAGTACTTTTTGGCCTGTGCGGGAACTTCGGAATGGTGAAACACTTGCATTGCATCAGCTGCTTTTGTACGTTAGGACCAGTGACCTGGATGCGTTTGCCAAAAGGATGGGCGCTGACGTGGAGCTGCGCAAACCGGTCGACTACATCGCAGCAGCCTCCCATTCCGGAAAGTCTGCTTCAGTGCTGGTGGGCTTCCTTCGTGCCATGGAGCAAAACGCCGTGGACGGGCAGCGTTCTATGAATTTCAGTCATTACCTGTACGTGCCCTTTGCGAACCATGGCGGGAACTTCCATAGCAGGGTAAGCGATGCCAAGCTGAAGAGAGCATGTTCAGATGATGCGCAATTGCGTGAAGCCTTGGGTGCGTCTTACATGAAGGATTGCTTCAAAGCACAAGCCTTTGGGCAACGTTTTCGCTTCCTGCGACGTCTCCCGCACTTGCACTGTGAACCCACAAGATATCTGCAGGACTGGAAGCCAGCATTGCGGAATTTCAACACTACGAAGAAGCTGCTCCAGAAGGACATCACCACCCTCATGCAGCGCAACCCAAGTGGCACGCTGTTGGCGCACGTAGATGAGCACCTATGCATGTGTCCAGACCCACACTTCCGAAAAGGTGCCATGAGGGTACTTGCAGAGCTTCCTGGTGTCCAGGTGTTCACCGACATACCACCCCTGCCCCGGCAGAAGTCCTCCGAAACCTGCCGACGACCGATCGCGTGTTTGCTTCCAGACGTGGGGACAATCATGAAGGGGCGCCTGCCCATGCAGAGCATCGTGGAGAACGAGGCTATTCAGCTTCGGGTGGCAACATTGCGCGTCACACTCGGGCTTACCTTGCAAAAACTCCTCCTTTCCGGTTTGCACTTTGAATCCCGTAAGATTGACCAGTTCTTGAAGGACCTCAAGGAGACTCTGAGGAATGCCGACGACGATGTCCAAGGGCTTGAGCAATGCATCCAGGATTGCAACAAGAAGTGGATGGATGATTCGGCAGAAGAGCAGACCAGCCTAGTCGACCTGCTCTGTGCCATCAAAGAAAACGATAGGAGAGTTCAAGAAAAGCGCTTCCCGCAGGTGGTGGCACCAGAGGACATACTCACGGCACCATTGGAGGGGCTACTTCGTGACGGAGACGATGACTCTCTCAGTCCTGTCAATATGCTACATGTTTCCTGTCAAAAATCTTCAGACAAGCACTGACAAGGAGTCCAAGAGCAGCAGTAACAGCTGGGAAGATATTGGCGTACGCTTATCTTTGGGCGCGGGCTTGCAGGTCGTACAAATTCAGCCGGCTGGATTTTGATGAGCTGTGGTTCCTTTCCAGTGCAAAGACGTTCAGCCCGTACATCTTCCAAGAGAACAAGAGCCGCGACTCTGCCAAAAGTGCGGAGATGCAGACCGCCACTCTTTACTATGCGCAGGGGAAGCATCCGTCTGCCGACATGTTCTTCAAGGATGATGCTGGTGCTTTGTGCCCAGTGGATGTGGGTGGCACTAGCGAGATGTCGAAGGCGCAAAAGAAGATTCAGAAAATGGACGAGGTCTTGATGAACGAAAATTTGCGTGATGACTTGCAAGTCGCTGGTGTCAAAGGTGTTGTCCTCCTACCAAACATTGAAAGCATCAAACCCTCAGCAACCATCTCAGCTGTCGCCATCACAAGGGCGAGAGCCAGAAAGCTGCTTGGTGGTCTCGCTCAACTGCTTGCTTGGCTGCCAACCGTCTGAAGCCCAAAGCTGGCGAACCGAACAGCTACTCAAAAGGAAGCCGTGCAGTCGATGTCGTGACGCAAACCAAGGTTTTGGAGATAGAAAAGCACAGAGACAACAAACATGAGAACACAGTAGGCGGACTGCACGATGCAAAGGCTGAATGAAGAGCGCGACGAAGGGCAGAAAAGAAAGCATGCAACAAGCCCGAGCTTTAGGTTGGAGGCTCTTGTAAACATGCAACTCTTTGTATTTCTGACGACCCCCGCCCCCCCACCACCCTTGTCTTTAGCTTGAAGGGTGTGACGTTTCAGGGAAGTCGTTTTTGAGAAGGGGGACCCGAACACCCACAAGCCGGAGGTTGTAAAGAAGGCGTCCTCAAGCCTTCCTGCATGTCACGCCTGCGCACACTACAGCGAGAGGGAGAGAGGCAGAACGTGCTGAGGAAGTCTGAGGCAATGGGCATGATATGCGAGGCAAGCACGGCACGGATGTCTCAACAAATGTTTTCTCGTTGTAGGTATACCTCCAAGACTTGCTACAGATATGCACTGAGAGTAATGTTGCGGTGCGCATTGGCCAGATTGCGGAGCTGAAACGGAAGATTCGTTCTTGCTGGTACAGTGGAACGTATCCCCCAAACCTTGTGTAGATTGCAATAGCCTCTTGCCAGACCACATGAACCTGAAGGGACTAGTCTGCAAGTCCATGCCCTGTAAGTTCCAGGAGGGGCTGCTACTTATAGTTAGAGCTCCCACTATTTGGGAGTTTCCGAAAATTAAATAGGGGACCTTTATTTTGGTACCCTAAAATAATAGGATCCTTATTATAAGGACTCCCAAATAAGGTACCCCGAATTTTTAGGAAATTCCCATTGCGGGGCTAGACCAAGCATTATGGGGTTCCCCCACTGATCGAACCTTCCGCATACATACTGCCAGGCTAAGCAGCAGGCCAATGGGCTGTTTTCAGCAGGCCCATGTCTCAGCTGATCAGAGATTCGGTGCTGTGCTCACAACTTGGGCGGCAGGTTGTTCTGATTTCGGACTCAGGAAACACAGCTACCAGGAGTTTTCTGTAGGAGCAGGGGACCTGTGAAGGCCTCTCTCTCCACTGCGGGGTCATAACAAGCCAAGCTTCTCAAAGGTGAGGGTATAGGATGCCGCTACCTGCTCCTCGCCTAGGAGGAGAAGTCGCACCTCTTCGGGCGGCTTCGGGTTTAGAGGTTCGGGAGTTGAGCTCTTCAGCGTAACAACCCTAAACCCTAAACCGTACAACAGCAAGGCTGCATGAAGATCTGTTCTAGATCAGCGAAGCTGTCGACAAGCAATTTGGAACTGCTTATCGTAATAGGGTCATGCAGTGCGTTATGTCCACGTGGTTTACGTGAATATAGCAGCCGGAGTAGTTATCAACACTTTTCCTTAGGGTTCCCTACTATAATTAGACTTTCATTCCCCCAAAACCTGATTCAAACCATAAACACCCCCAGTACCAAATCCTGCAACATCCCTATTATAAACACACGTATACATCCCTTAAAGCGGCCCTTAAAAGGAACCCTAAACCCTATTCCACTTAAACCTAGCTTCTGCAAAAGCACCGTGAGTTGATTCTCTGTGCAGGCAACACGAGCGAATCGGAGAGGCGGTCTAGTGTCGGTGTAGGGTTTAGGGGTTTAGCGTTGGGGTTTAGGGTGTAGGCTGTGGGAGAGTTTGAAAAGGTTTGGGGAGCACATGAAGGTGTTGTGGCTTTTGCCGCAGGCTTGGGGGTGTAGAGCTCATGTTTAGTAGCGAAAGTCGGGACACCTTGTAGTCTCTGGTCATTCGGTTTCGGGACATTTTAAGCTTGAAGGTTCGGTCTTTGGGCTCGGCACCAAAGTAGCCAGACTCAAACCTTGACCTCGCGCCATTTCTTCAAACCACGCTACCCACACATAGGACCCTGACCCCAAAATCCTCCGCTCAAAGGGGAAAAGGAGGGACCCTTAAAGGGGACCCCTACCCTATAACAGGCTATATAATGCGTATATAATACTAGTAGCTGTATTAAGGTATATACCTAGGGGTCCTTATTAAGGGTCCCTCCTTGTACCCTTGGACCAGCGTGAACCCTGAAACTACTCGCCGGCGCTTCGGAGTAGCAGTGCAGCTCGAGCTGAAATCCCTGAGTTTCGGGACTTCCAACGGTCGCAAAAAGTGGGGAGCTGGTGGCTCAGAGTTGAAAGCTGTCGGTTCTTCGTGTTGCCGCTGATGTTTGTTGTTTTTTCTTTGCTTATGATCGTCTTCGCACTATGCTCTGTTTCCGCGCATATCCATCAGCACACTTAAGATGGCTGCGATGGTCGTGTATTGGCAGTAGGAACACGAGTTGTTGGTCTGTGACATCTATAGGTGTAGGTCATAATCCGAAACCGTTAGCCCCGAACCCCAGCCCAGAACGCCGAAGACCTTTCTCTGAGCCCCAGCGGCACAAAAAGCCTGATATTTGTTTCTTGACCTGGCTTGCCTTGTAAGCTGGGATACAAAACGAACCTACGAAGTGCATCCGACCTCAACCTGATACAATGTAAAAAACATTCCCAGTCGGGCTCCTTCTTGAAGGACTGCAAAGTTAGATACCCCTTCTTTTCGGAAGCCCCATGTCATGTCGCAGGTGGTTCTCGAAAGCGCTTTGGGTGGCTGAGGAGTCAGGGCAGGTGAAGGAGGCGCAGTCAAAAGGGACAGGTTGAATGTTCAAAAGGGTTCGGGGTTGCCTAGCAAGGCATTTACACTTCTTACTTGTGATGCTGACCTCTAGCGATGCCGATTCCCATGTTATGAACGAGCTGATCTCAAGGCCCAACGAAGCTCTGGTTTTGCGACGAGCCCCATACTAAAAATATTCAGAACTGCCAAGACGGCTCTCCTGACCTGCAGGTTCCGGACAGCTTGCGGGCGGTGCTGTACTCCAACCGGGTGCGGCGCCCCTTGCAGAGCCTGCTCCAGTGTGAAGGTAGCTGTGTGTATGATATTTCCGATTTTCCACATGTCTCTTTGCTTGTCTGTAGAACGTACGCACCGATGCACAGAATCCGAGCGTGCATGCATAAAGCTTGCAGTATTATGTCTTCATATGATGTCTAGGAATACCAAATTACTCACATCGTAGCCTAGCTCTTAAGATCCCTCGACCGAAAGCCGCAAACCCAAGCCTGCACTATGAAGATGCTCTCCGAGCCTAGGATTATCCCGAATAGCAACCCTAAAATGGCCCGATAACATACTAGGAATATCAATAGCAGCATTGTTCGCAAAAGTTCGTAAAAAAGCAAAACTATCCGCAGTATCGATAGTAAAATCCGTCTAGTCGTCGAAAGCGTAGTACTAAACTGGGATCACAAAACCCCAAGCCCTAAACCGTACGCCCTAAGCTCCAAATCCGTAAGAATATTGGGGCCTTAACATTTACCTATACTATTTGGGGTTTCCTTATGATAATTATAGTATAACGGGCCTCAAAACCCTATCCAAATCATTAAATCGGGGGCCTCAAAAGGTAGGATGAAGGTAGGTGGGATATTCCCAAATAAGAGTCCTTATAAGGGATCTTTAATCCCACCTACCTTCATCCCACCTTGTGAGGCCTCCGATTAAAGCCCCTATAGTGAGCTCCGGAGGCTTTCGCCCGGCTGAAGCTGAAGCTTTGGCCCGGCGTGGAAGAGGACTGCACCAAGGCCCCTGGGGGAGGGAGGGAGGGAGGGAGGGGGGAGCGAGGGAGAGGGGACAGAGGTTCTGATGATCTTAGGGTTTAGGGTTGAGGGTTGAGGGTGCTATGGAAGCCTAGAGGCTTAGAGTGTAGGTTCTGATAGCTGATAAGTCTTCTAGCATATGGAGGCTTCGAGTTTAAGATTTTCTTCCGTATATGCACAGTATGCCTGCAAATAAGCGCTTTGGGGGCCTTTTGAAGGGAGGTGCAGGGCTTTGGGGGTTCGAGAGGATGTCGGGGTGCCAAGTCCGAAACCACGAAAAGCCCCCGAACCCTAAACCCCAAACCCCAAAACTCCCTAGGCCCGAAACCAAATCCCTAGGCCCCTAAACCCCCCACCCTAAACGCCCTGAAACCTACAGGTTTGAGATTGATCTCATCTGGGTTCATAATTATTGTACTATTTTGGGGTTCCTCGTTATATTTATAGTATTTACCAAGGCCCCTAAACCCTAAGCCCTAAGCCCTAAACCCTAAACCCTAAACCCTAAGCCCTAAACCCTAAACCCTAAAACCCTAAACCCTAAACCCTAAGCCCTAAACCCTAAGCCCTAAAACCCTAAAGCCCTAAGCCCTAAGCCCTAAACCCTAAACCCTAAAGCCCTAAACCCTAAACCCTAAGCCCTAAACCCTAAACCCTAAACCCCAAGCCCTAAAACCCTAAAACCCTAAGCCCTAAACCCCAAACCCTAAACCCTATAACCCTAAAACCCTAAAACCCTAAGCCCTAAACCCTCAGTGCAGCATCCGTCGGCTTGCCAGGCCTTGGCCCTGAGCCCCAACAACGCCAAGGCCCGGCTTTTTCGCTGCAGGGTTTGGGGGGTTTACTTGGAGGATCATGGGACTTAGTAAGGGTTCCTTAAAGGGCTCCTTTAAAGGGATCTATAGGGTTCCTTAAAAGGGATCTATAGGGTTTAGGGTTTAGGGTCTACTTGGAGGATCATGGGACTTAGTAAGTAGGGTTATAAGTACCTTTATTGGGGTTATAGGTAATTATAACTGTAACTACTTTACTTGGGGGGTTGAGGGCTTAGGGCCTAGGAAACAGGGTTTAGGGTTTAGGGCTTCGGGTTTAGGGCTTAGGGTTTAGAGTTTAGGGCTTAGGGTTTAGGGCTTAGGGCTTAGGGTCCCAACCGCCAAAGCCTGAATGCATGAACCGCAAGCGCCTGAACACCAAAATCCTACATCCTGAGCTGATCCTAAGCCCGAAACTTGCACCCTGAAGCAGAGCCCCTCAGTCCCCCAAACCCCAAACGATGAGCCCGGCGAGCCCTAAAGCCTAAAAGACCCTAAGCCCCGAAACCCCCCAAGAACTGCGACGTCCTAAAGCCCAGACTGCCCAAGACAAGATGCATCTGAGGGTTTATCGAGTGTATGATTGGGCAATCCTTCAGGTTTGGGGATTTGATCTTTAGGGTGGGGAATCAGGTTTGCGTTTAGGGTTTAGGGTTTAGGGTTTCATTCTGGTGTATTTGAGGAGCCTCAGACGCCACGGTTTGTAGGCCCTTCTTAAGCAAGCCCCAAATTTGTGGCTTCACCTTCAAACAACACTGCGCCTGGAAGCTCCTCGAACCCATAAACCCTGAACCCTGAGCCCTAAACCCTAAACCCTGAATGGCCACGTTCCTCAGAGGCGCTCTACCGCCGAACACAGGCACGCTTCGAGCTCGGGTGCTCAGAGGTGTCTGTCTGAGGATCTCTTCATCCGATCTGCACCCCTGCAGTGTAAATCCGCAAAATAGACCCCAAAGCCTAAACTGCACAAGACGGCACCAAGCCCGCTGGTCTTGAAGCCTCGCATCTGCCCCAGACGATTCAGGCTGAAGCAGCGCAAGGGGGCGTTGGAGGACGTGGAGAAGCTGCTGCCGCTTCTCGCAGGGCCCCCCAGGGTGTGTAGTCGTCAGAAGAATCGGGGCCTGGCGTGAAGAGTTGGTAGCCCATGTTTGATTAACACAAGCACCGCGAGAGTGAGAGTACAGTAACAGATGTCAAAGATAATCGGTCGAATGTGACCGAGGTGCTCATGCTGATGGGAATGATCCTGTTACTGATTGCCGACTATTCCCGCTGTCTTCCCTTTAGGGCGTGCGTGTGTGTGTGTGTGTGGGTGGGTGGATGCAAGTCCTGTTAGGGCGTGTGCATTGAAGCCGGAGTCTTTGTCCTGACACTGCATAAGACTTGTTGCCTGCTTGCAGCTCGGCTCTCTGAATTTGTGCCCCAAGTAGGCTCTGTGCTGCCGCAGACATGGTAGTCGCAAAAACCCTCTGCCAATGCTTTTTTGGTGCTGGTTTCCAGAATGCTCAAGTCTGGTGAGAGCTACAGTGATGCCCGCGCGTCGCTACTTCCCCACAACATCACAGCAAACCCTTAACCCTAAATTCAGCCCTTGCGCAAGCTTATGGAAAGACACGCCGCTGCACTTTAAAAAAAAGATCAGCCCTTGTAACCCCAAACCAGTCAGCATTCGTTTTTTGGATTTCCGTCCAGGCATCCCCTTCCGACAAAGATGCTCTGGAGCTCCGCGACAAGATCTTAGCGCACGCAGCCGAGGGGGTTTCGGCTAAGCCACAACAAACAAGAGGGCTGTTTTTTGGTACTAGTTTCCCGTTCATATGCCATCATACGTACTTATGCCACTCCAGACCCGAATTATGTAAGCCCTGCTCTAAGTTTCGTAAAGCCCCCAGAAATCCACGCCCCCAGAAATCCATATAGAGACCTTTTCAGCCTCCATACCAATTCTATAGACCACCCTCTCAAACCCTTAGGTCTAAAGAGTACTAAGCTCAGCTTCGATGTAGGGTTTCATTATGGCTTTTTCAGGGTTATGGGTCTTGTGCTTGTTTGCTGTAGGGTTTTATGATGGGAGCCGCAATGGGTGGACCGGGGTTTCGGGTCAGGGGCTCTAAGTGGGAGATCCTAAGTCGGAGATCCGTACCAATGCAACTATTCTGACCTCTTTTCTCTGCTGTCTAGGGCGGAAAGGATTGAACCAGAGTTAGATGCGCCACCCTACATCCTAAAATCCAGCAAGACCCACACCCCTCAACCCCAAGCCCTCTAGACTCTAAGCCCCAAGCCCCAAACCCCTACACCCCAAGCCCCCCCAAACAATCAGTCCCAACCCACCCCCCTCCCCACAAAGGACTTTTAGTCCTTTAGTCTTAAGACCCAGACCCCAGTGATGGCCTTTGGCTGTGTTAACAACAACAAATCCCAAGAAGGATCGGTGAAATCTTCTTTGGCTGTGTTAGCAACGCCAAAACAGTGCATTCCAACAATACATTCCAAAAAAAGATCGGGTTAGTCGCCTTTGGCTGTGTTAGCGATGCCAGACACTACGCTCCAAAAATCGCCTTTCGCCTTTGGCTGTGTTAACAACACCAAAACGATACATGCCAAAAAGGGTCGGGGACATGGCGCTTCCCTGTGACAACAACACCAAAACAATACATTCCACAAAGGATCAGGGTAATCGCTTTTGGCTGTGGTACCAACACCAAAGCAATGCCGCCCGAAAAAGATCGGGGTACTCGCCCTTGGCTGTGGTACCAAGACCAGAGCAATACCTTGCAAGAAGGATCGGGTTATCGCGTTAGGCTGTGCTAACAAAACCAAGACAATACATTCCAAAAAAGATCGGGGTAATCACCTCTGACTGTGTTAACAACACCTATACAATACAAACCTTGGTCCCTAAACTTAGACAGACTTCTAAAACCTAAACCCTTACACCCAACACCCTAAACCCTTACACCCAAAACCCTAAGCCCTTAAACCCAAAACCCTAAGCCCTTAAAACCCCTAACCCTAAACCCTTAAATCCCAAACCCTAAACCCTTAAACCCAACACCCTAAACCCTTAAACCCAAAACCCTAAACCCTTAAACCCAAAACCCTAAACCCTTAAACCCAAAACCCCTAAGCCCTTAAACCCAAAACCCTAAACCCTTAAACCCCTAACCCTTAAGCCCTTTGCCCCTCATCGCCCGACTGAAGGCTGCCTTCCGAGGAAGGCGAGCCCAAAAAGGCGGCGGGGGAGAGCTGAACCCTTAAACCCTAAACCCTAAACCGAATTGTAGGAAAAAGGGTACCCTCATTATAAGGCGGCTACTCAGGAACCTAGTGAAACTTAAGTTCACAAGATGCTGGATGGTGTTACCTAGGTAACATTCGACTTTTTCTTGTGGTACACAAGATGCTGGATAATGTTACCTTGTAGTAGAGTAGGTAGCCTTCAACCATTTTTGGGGGTACTAGAACCCAATATACAATCCCAACATCAGCAGCTAGTTGCCAAGAATACTGCACAAGTGTTTTGTTCTGATAATGAAAAGCGCTCCTCAGCATTAGTGCTGATATTAGCACGCTTGTCGCGATCATTAGTACTATGGCAGTTTATGCTACTATTCCTATTCCGTTTGCTGTTGTCATTACGATTGCTATTGCTATGACTTTCACCCTCGAGACATGTACAGTCATCGCCGTCACGCACATGCCCAAAACAGGCCAGATAGAGAATTACCAATATTACTTTGGCGGTTCCTTATTATAACTAGAGTAAACTGGGCCCCAAAACCCTATTCTAATTATTAAGGCCCCTTGCGGCGACGCAAGATCAAAGCGGGACCGGCTCCTGCCGGCACGAAGCCGTCAGACCAAGCTCCTTGTGCGAGGCCGAAGCGCCGAAGCCCAGCAGCCCCAAGGCGCCGTCACGGGAAAGAAGGTGATTTTCCATCGCAGAGGGCAGCATCGCACATTCAGAGGGTGAAGCCCTGAACTCTGAACCGACATGTGCTGTGGGCAGTTCGCTCCTTGCAAGGGGCAGTATCGACCAGGGTGTTGTTTTGCCAGGATCGCCGCTATAAACTACAATATCGCGGCTGAATGAGCAGGGGGCGAAGTGTCGACCAACACGATGTTGATGTTGCTGTTGGTGAGGAGGACGGTGGTGGTGGTGGTGGTGGTGGTGGTGGTGGTGGTGGTGGCGGCGGCGGTGGTGGTGGTGGTGCTGGTGGTGGTGCTGGTGGTGGTGCTGGTGGTGGTGCTGGTGGTGGTGCTGGTGGTGATGATACCCGTGCCGCTGCTGCTGCGGCTGCTGCTGATGAATCCGCTCGCCTAGACAATTGTTGTCTACTCTTGAAGCTTTGCGAAACGAAGGATGTCTCTTGGTCACTTTCGGAAGCCGTCAGACCAAGCTCCTTGTGCGAGGCCGAAGCGCCGAAGCCCAGCAGCCCCAAGGCGCCGTCACGGGAAAGAAGGTGATTTTCCATCGCAGAGGGCAGCATCGCACATTCAGAGGGTGAAGCCCTGAACTCTGAACCGACATGTGCCGTGGGCCGTTCGCTCCTTGGAAGGGACAGGAGCGACCGGGGTGTTGTCTTGCCAGGATCGCCGCTATAAACTACAATATCGCGGCTGAATGAGAAGGGGGCGAAGTGTCGACCAACACGATGTTGATGTTGCTGTTGGTGAGGAGGACGGTGGTGGTGGTGGTGGTGGTGGTGGTGGTGGTGGTGGCGGCGGCGGTGGTGGTGGTGGTGCTGGTGGTGGTGCTGGTGGTGGTGCTGGTGGTGATGATACCCGTGCCGCTGCTGCTGCGGCTGCTGCTGATGAATCCGCTCGCCTAGACAATTGTTGTCTACTCTTGAAGCTTTGCGAAACGAAGGATGTCTCTTGGTCACTTTCGGAAGCCGTCAGACCAAGCTCCTTGTGCGAGGCCGAAGCGCCGAAGCCCAGCAGCCCCAAGGCGCCGTCACGGGAAAGAAGGTGATTTTCCATCGCAGAGGGCAGCATCGCACATTCAGAGGGTGAAGCCCTGAACTCTGAACCGACATGTGCTGTGGGCCGTTCGCTCCTTGGAAGGGACAGGAGCGACCGGGGTGTTGTCTTGCAAGGATCGCCGCGATAAATTACAATAGCCCGGCTGAATGAGAAGGGGGCGAAGTGTCGACTAACACGATGACGTTATTGCCATTGCTGTTAGTGGTGACGAGGAAGGTTAGCAGGACGTGTTGTAGTCAGCTCAGCCGAGAATCGATGGAAGTTCAGATCACACCTCCCCTAAACCCTCCATCCTAAATCCTGGGCCCTCTCCCGTAGCCTTCGACACCCAATACCCAGAATCTTCAAATCCGAGCTTCCAAAGGCCATGCTTTCATCCCACCCCTCCAAGCCAGCACTTGTAAGACCCTTCTGAAGCTTTATAAACATACCTTTGTATCTGCCCCCACCCTGTAATAGTGACTATAAGGATTATATTAGGGCCTTATTATATTCCTATTATGCCACTATTACAGGGTGGGGGCCCCTTCTAAACATACCTATGACAAGCCCCTCACTGACAGGCCGAGCCTCCGAAATCCAGCAGCCCCCCCAAGGCCTGCAACTTCTGCAGGGCTTTGGTTTTAGGAGTTTGGGGTTTGAGGGCCAAGCTTTCGGGTTCAATCTTACGACTTCGTGGCCATTTGGGGCTAGAGCAGCTTGAGATGGTTTTTAGACACTTCAGAACCCGGGAGCACCAAAAATCGTCTTCCACGGACTGTTTCGAGACTCGGTGCCGAGGGCCAACCTCGGGAGGTGATGTTTTCCAAACTCCCGGGCCATAATGTGGGTGGTTGTCAAAATCATGGTCGCTTTTTGGGAACCCTAAATATTAGGTGCCGTGCCATAATAAGGACCCAACAAGGGACCATAATTTTGACAACCACCCATGTAGGGGCCTAAATAACTACCTATATTATTTTGGGGGGGTTCCTTATTATCATTGTAGTATCATGGGCCGCAAAAACACTATTCTACTTATTATGGCCCCTTTATTAGGATCTTGCGAGAGTTTGGGATCAACATGTGCATCCAGAAGCCGAGCTCATTAGCCGACGCGCATGTCTGGAAGGATCGTGGCGGTGATGGCGACGACGATGCTGGTGGTGATGATGAGAATACTCCTGACTTCTGCCGCAAACGACAACAACAACTACTACTCACTACTACTGCTGACACTAATGTTGCTGCTACTGCTACTGCTACTACTACTACTACTACTACCACTACTACTACGACGACTACTACTACTACTACTACTACTACTACTACTACTACTACTACTACAACTGCTACTGCCGCTACTAATGGTTTCGGCGAAATCAACCGGTAGACCCTGAAGCTGCGATGAAGGCCGCAGCGCCGAAGCCGAGCAGCCCCAGCGTGGTCCCAGCAGCATTGTCTGAGTAAGTTGTCCAGCACTTAGGGGTACTTCGAAATAATTGTTAATTTTTGGATATTTTAATTCCTAAGAAACAGCTAAAATTATAATTTTTGCTAGGGTTCTAAGTTCAGTATAGAGCAGTTGGTGGTTGGTTCAGAACAAGCGAGGCGGCAGCTGCAATACTAGGATCGCTCTGGATACACATGGGTGGTTGTCAAAATTAGGGTCCCTTTTTGGGTCCTTATTACTATACGGCACCTAATATTTAGGATGCCCAAAAAGATACCGTTATTTTGACAACTACCCACATCCGCCAAAAAGAATCCCCACATGTCTGAAACCCCACGTCTTGGTTGTTGAGGCGGGGCCTTGAAAGCAGAGCCAGCTTGCAAGAGCGAGAGTTGCGAAATGTGGGGAGGTGATCAGGAGTGTAATGTAGGGGCCTGAAGAATTGGAACAGGGTTTTGGGGGTTCCTTTTTATACAGTATAGTATACCCCCAAAGCCCATTCTAATTATTAAGGCCCTTAGAGTATGCATGCATTGTAATTACGTAGCGTCATGTCATGGTCTGTAATGTAGCAATGCTATATAATGCATTGTAGGGTATATGTATGTGCTCTTGTAAGCATTCCTTCTTGTCGAGCTTGCCCCAGCTTGCCTTCAAAGACAGCTCGAGAGTGTCAGTTTGGAGGGTGGTTTGGAGGGCATTTGGGAATCTTGTGAGCCTAAGCTCTGAACTACCCTCCACCCTAAAGGCCTTAAGCCCTGAACCAAACCCTAAACCCTAAACCAAACCCTAAACCCTACAGGCCTTAAGCCCTAAACCTTAAAAGCGGCAGACCCTCGAAGGCCCGGAGCCCTGAAGAAGTCCCTGCCAGGCGCCCCCAGCGGCAGGGTTCCGGCGCATGGAAATCGTGGAGGCTCCTGGCCTACACCGGTTTCTGCTCTGCGGCTTAAGCCTGACCTTAAACCTGAATAACCTACCTTTTTAGGCTTCGTTATTATGATTTCTTTATATAAGTCCTTAAGAATGTAGGTTCTTCGGGGTTAAGGGAACACTTTAGAAGCCCTGAAGCTCGAGGATTGGAGGGAGGGAGGCCTTGAAGCCTAGGCTATCGTCGAGTCCTTAAATGTCCATGGAAGGCTGGCAGTGGGACAGACGGATAGAGACGGCCGCTTCAAATTACTCTACATCCTGACATGACTCACAACAAACTCTGAATATCACTAAAACCTACCTAGACCCTCCATCTACATCCATCTACCTTATTAGACACTAAATGCCCCTTATTTGGGACCATATACCCCTATTTGAGGGTACAAAGAGGGTCCTGGTAGATTGCCCTGACTCTCAAACCAGGCCAGCGATGACGAAGACGAGGAGCCGGCACCAGCCTGGAGCCCAGACACTACGGTGCATGCCGCTCTCTGCAAGGAATTTAGAATTTACCTTAACCCCGAAGAACATACCTTTTTAAGGACTTATATACAGAAATCAGAATAAGGAACCTTGAAAAGGTACTTGGAGGATCATGACACTTAGTAAGTAGGGTTATAAGTACCTTAATTGGGGCTATAAGTAATTATAACTGTAGTTGCTTTACTTATAACCCTACTTACTAAGTCCCATGATCCTCTAAGTAGGTTATTCAGGGTTAGGGCAGGGTCTGGGGTTCCAGGGGTCTGGGCCCTTTGGAGGCGAAACCGGCAACCGGGCCAGCAGAGCCTCACGCGGACCTGCGCGTCGAGCCAGGGCCTTAGGGCTTTTAACTTACAGTTTAGGGTTTGGGGTTTAGGGTTTAGGGTTTTGGGGTTTTTCGGGTTTAGGGTTTGGGGTTTAGGGTTTAGGGTTAAGGGTTGTTCATAGGCTTCGGGTCGGAGTTTTGGGGGTTTTGGCATGTGCCGTGCGCTGAAAGGACCGCACAGCATCGCACAGCAGGCAGCCATTTGACAACGAGTTCTCAGACTAGCAACGTGCGAACTATTGCAAGGATGGCAACTACATGGCATGCATACAAATCTTAGTGGTACTTAGAAATATTTTCTAATTTGTGGTTATTGGAATCCCTAAGAAACAGCTAAACTCATTATTTTTGCTAGGGTTCTAAGTTCAGTATAGAAATGAATTCACCTTCTGGTGAGATTCGCCTCGGAAGTGTCTCGAGGGGTTTGGATACAATGCATCATTACGTTTCTTAAGGTTCCTTAGTTTACCGATTGTAGGAACAGCCCCCCACTTATTGTACTCTGATTTTTTTACACAAGTACACCTAGGCTTTAGGGTTCAAGGTTCGCTGAACCAGATGCCGTCAATAAACCCCAAAACCGAAACCCTAAACCTTACTGCTTCTGTTTGCGTGAGACTGGCGAGGTTCACCGTCCAAGGTGTGGAGAAGGTGCAGGGGACATTTCGGCTATCCAGGAGTTTCCGAAAATAAGGGGTACCTTAGTTTGGGGTCCTTATAATAAGGATCCGACTATTTAGGGCAGTATGTTAGGGTCCCCTATCTTCGGAAACTCCCATCCAGTGATCCCATGATTACGCCTTAACATGCCAAGACTACGAACCCCCACGCAAGTCTCAGACATGTGAAATGCTAAACTTTAAAGCCTGAGCCCACAAGCTTAAAGCTTAACCCGTAATTGCAATCACTGAGCTTTCGGGTCGTTGCAGGTTTTTTTTTCACGTTTTTTGAGATGGGGTTCTTAGTGTCGGGGGTTGTGTTTCAAAGTGATCCAACGAGTATTTCGAAGGCGAGTGCTGCTGTTTTGGGTCGATATTGGGGCCCCTTATGTTCTGAACTTGCTCGAAGGACAGACTTTTGAGTATTGGCCCAAGAACTCCCCAAAACCATTGGAGGACAGCGGCATGAATGGAAGCGGCCGGTGAAATCCGAATTTCAGGCGATACTCATGGAGCTCAACGAATAGAATGTAGGTTGTATGATTGGGGAATCTCAGGTTCATGAACCCTCTAGCCCAAAATTCTTCATAACAGCTCGCACCCTAAACCCTACAGTAGGCCCTAAAGCCCACTCCCTAAGCGCTAGAGCACGGCGGAACCCGGAGCCAGGCGAAGCAGCAGGCGAATACGCTTTTCTCCGAAGGCCACTTGCCTCGCATGTCGGGAGGGGTTGGGTTGGGGTTTAGGAGTAGGAGTTTAGGGTTTAGGGTTTAGGATTAGGAGTTTCACTAAGGATACTACTTTAATGGTACTAGAAGGGTAGTAGAAGGCTTGCGGGTAGGTTCAGGGTATGATGAGGGTAGTACTCGCCAGAAGGGTATTATAAGGGTACCAATCTCAGGATCCACGTGTTGAGGTTCGGGGTTGAGCTGCTCACTTGTTGGAGCTTAGACTCTGCGGGAAAGTAGCCTTCCAATGTTAGTCCCGGTCGGTGAGTTCGCTGCTCGCCCTGGCGCAATGTTTGGTGTTTTGGAGACAGGGAATTTGCTGTGACGAAGGTTTTTTGGGTTTTTGAAGGCCGAAGCCTACGGAAACCTTGCTTGTTTGAGTGACGCATGGTTGCCGGCCGGCATATGGAGCGCTGTTTTACTTATGGCAGGTGCAGCGCTGCTTTACATCAGTTCTCTTCATGCAAGCCCTGTGCGATACCTGTTATAGTCCACCCCGTCCACACGCCCGATGTCAGCTTATGGAAGGTTCTAGGACTTGGGCTTGAGAGCTTGAGGTTAACTTCAGGTTTGGGTTTTGAGCAAGCAGTCCTCGAAGCCATACACGACTTTATCACTTTCCGCGGGGTTAGGTTTGGAAAACAGAGAAGCCTGCAGGCAAGACGAGCGACGCCGAGAGGCTCTGTGAACTGCGGGCGAATGCATTGGGTTTAGGATTTGATGCAAGAGGTTGCTGTTGGACACCGATAGATCTGCAAACTGTTCGTTCATTTAGCTATGCATGTAGCCTTGTGTCTTTTTCCCCTTTCTCGTTCAATGTATACAGCTGTTGTCCGTACACGCAGACATTCCTGAGCAGCCCGCGTCCTTCAACGACTGCGTAGGAAAGCAGGCAAATTCCGTTGCTGCACGACGAGGTGATGTAGGTTCTCTTCATAACGGGGACTTCCGCTATGCAGACTCTGTTTGGTGTTCGTGGGTCTAGCAACGCCTCTTTTGGAGGTGCAAGAAGGTTTTTGCAGCTACAGACAAAGGCATCTTGCTCAGTCCTACCTACTCCGCTGAGACTCATACCCGGTTATCCCTAAACCCTAGTCCCTAACTTTGAAAACCTGAAAAGACTCGAAACTGAAACTCCGTGGTCCAATGTGGGTCGGTCCTCTGCTCAAAGCTGTCGCAGGTGGTTCTCGAAAGCCATCTGGGTGGCCGAGGAGTCCGGCAAGGTGAAGGAGGCCTACATCGCAAGTGGCCGCACTTGTTCCGGGTAGCCTTGCCCAGAAACCGAAAGCCTTCCTTAGGCCGGAGAGAGAAGGGGACGTGGGCTGCATCCTCAAGACGAAGCCCAATATTCGGAACCTCTCAGGGAAGACCGACCCTCTCTCTCTCTCTCTCTCTCTCTCTCTCTCTCTCTCTCTCTCTCTCTCTCTCTCTCTCTCTCTCTCTCTCTCTCTCTCTCTCTCTCTCTCTCTCTCTCTCTATATGTGTATGTACTTGTATATGCATACGTATCTACCTATCCGCCAATCTATCTATCTATCTATCTATCTTTCTACCTATCAAATTATGACAGTTTATGTATCGGTATGATGTGAGATGAGATGATATGACATGGGAGGATATGACATGAGATGATATTTATTTGCATATACATGTATAAACACGTACATTGTAACATGGTATCTCACGTGTATGTATGTATGTATGTATGTATGTATGTATGTACATTATGTATGAATGTACGAACGTGCGTGTGTGCGTACGAAAGGATGGATGGACGGATGGATGGATGGATGGCTGGATGGATGTGACACCAAGTTTTTTTGTCGCGAGGCACAGGGTTTAGGGGCGGGGTGGAGCTTCCTTATGGGCATCCGAGAAGTACCTTTAGAAGCGGGAGAGCCTTCTAAACCCTGAATCCTTGGAGCCCTATAACCCCTAAGCTGCGAATGTGCAAAGCCGCGTACGAGATCCAAGGCCCTGAGGCTCTTTCATCCCGAAAGCGCCAAGGCCTTATACCTCAAAGCCGGGGCCCTAAATCCCTGAACCCCGTCGCCCACGGCCACGAAAGCGCTAGAATCCAGAACCCCCAAACCCCCCAAAGGCCACAGCCTTCATTGCAGGTCCCTGATTCGTTACGATCTGTGCTCCATACCAACCGAGCACGGAACCTGGTTTCTCAGAGTTGGTTCAAGCTTTCAGGTTCAGGGTGTTTAGGTACAGGGACGACGGGTTTCAAGAACGATTTTCTAGCTGTGCTGGTGTGAAATAACATTTGCATCAGCATTTACGGCGATTTCAAGTGCTTTACAATGCAACGACACCATGCATTTGCCAAAGCGCGAAATACATTGTGAGAGTGGCAGACCCATTTACGATCCTTCCGCACGGAATGCTTTTCGCTGATGTCGTCTTCTTGGCTGCACGCTGCATGAGCTGGTAACGAATGTCTGCGCGAACAGAAGGCTAGAAGGCTACTCTGGTAGAAATCGGCACACTGCGAAGTGGACGCTATCGTGGGTTGGCCTTGGATATGGCATGCACGTGCACGCACCGCGACAGTGGACGTTGTCATGGCTCTGGCGCAACGTTCGCTAGCAACGGGCCTGCGTGAAGCCGAAAGGCCCCTACAAATTCAGGACTCCTCACTGCAAACCAGTCAGCAAACGCGAGGATTACGCAGCAGGATCTCTCTGTGACTCAAGCTCTAATCCAGAAATAAAGACAAGCATACAACCCGTCAAGATTCTTACAGAGCCCCGGTGAAGCCTTGCAAAGCCCCATAAGACTTGTCTACGACCCTTTCAGGCCGCTTTTACAAGCTCAAAATATCTCTTAACACAGCCCTTGAACAATCCTTATGCCTTATGAAGCACTTGTGATTAGAACACACATACAGCCTTGCGCAGCTGTTTCTGATTATATAACATCAGTTCAATTTATGGTTTCTGTGATGTCATTATTCGCAGTTTTGTACAATTTGTTGTTATTCTGCCTCTCATTACTATTATTATTGCTACTATTCTTCTTCTTCTTAAAATGGTTTATCTTGCCGAGCCAAGGCCTTTGCACGGCTAAAGCTGAAGCAGTGGCCCGGTGTCGAGGATGACTGCACCAAGGCCCTGGCTCTTGTTTGGTTTGGGGTGTCGGATTTTGGGGATTTGGGGGGTTTTGAGGTCTTTCGGCTGGACGAATGCAGGCTTTGGGTTTGGGGCTTCAGGGTTTTTGGGGTTTTCGTAGAGTACTTTTCGGAGATTTGGTGTTTTGGGGTTTCGACTGCAGCAACCCCCGCACGCAGGTGCCTTGATTATGAGCAGCAAGTCGAACTCTCGGTATACCGTCGCCCGGAGCAGTTTTACTACAGCCACAATGGGCTAAGTGGTGAGGCCAGGTACAACCTGTCCCAAAAATTAGACTGGTAGACTCTAAATCTGAAACCCTCCTCCCTAAACCCTAACCGAACCTCCAGTGCCCTGAAGATTGGAACCCAAAGCCTCGTACCCTAGACCCAAATCCATCATAAGTTGCGATAGGCCCTATCATAACCTATGAAAACACCCTACAATCAGTTTGGCACAAGGCCTTCTACAGAAATCGCTTCAGAAGAGACGTAGGCCTTGCTTTGTGCCCCATCAAGCTCGAAGCAAGCACGGCTTTGCGAGCAGGCTCTGAGTCTCGGCGCAAGCAATGCCAAGGTGGGCACTTCGTAGTAAGAGTAACAGTATCAGTAATAGTAGCAGTAATAGTTAGGAATAATAAGTAATAGTAATAGTAACACTAGTAGTCATAGTCATAGTCATAGTCATAATAGTAGTAATCGTAATGGTGTGTGGTACCGCAGCCTGTTCAGGGGCTGCTAGGCTGATAGGGGTTTAGGGTTTGGGCGCAGGCACGTTCAGGTTGCATCGTGTCGAAAGTCCTCAGGGGCGCTCCAGCACTCTTAGGCCTGCAGCCGTATGTTGAATGCAGACAACACTCGACAAGCAAGTGCGGGCCACAACCTGAGATCGCTGGTCCAAATGTGTGTGTCTGTATATACATAAAATGCTTTCATGCATATCCATACATACACACCCTTATAATTGTATACATAAATATATACATAAATCTATATATATATATATATATATATGTATATATATATATGTATATATACGCACACAAACACACACACACACACACACACACAGGTATACATACAGTATACACAAACTTATGCACACGTGTTCAGTCTGTGTGTATGGCCTCGCATGCATGAGTGAACTTCTACTCATTTTACTCATGTAGACGGGAACAGGTGAAAAGTCTGTGCATCTGGTGAGACTGGAGCTTGAGGTTAGGTGGTTCATGACCTTCGAGTCGTGTCCATCATCGTTGTCATATGGTACGTGCTGTCACACAGTGCAAAGGACGAACGTTTCGGATCATAAGCCAAGAGCAAAACCCTAAACCCTAAACCATGCTAGGGGGTTTGGGGTAGGCCGGTAGGCTTCTGCGTCGGGATGCGTTTGTTACTGTTGCCTTATCTTCAACAGCCCAAAGCTAATCGTCCAACCCTGGCGACGAACCCTAAATCCTACATAAACCCTAATCCAATGCCCCTGCTTTCGTGTGAGAGGCCTTGTATCGCCGAGCGCAGGCACGCTTCGAGCTCGGGCACTCAGGGGGTCTTGGCCTTGAGATTTCTTAGGCGCTTGAGCCGACATACCACGCTCTGTCGTGCCGAAGTTTCTGAAGTTCAACAAGAATGGTTTTAGGGTTTAAGCTTCCGAGCCAGGGACCGGCTTAAGTTTGTGGTTACATTCAGGGTCAACGCCGCTGTAGTCTTGCCGCAAGGCTGGAAGTTATGCGTCAGGCGGTACTGAAGGCTGCACTTACAGCGATAGGTGCTCTTGCTCGTGAGACATCTACTCTACTCCACGCTGAGCACGTTTCATTCCGTGTAGTTGCCAATGAACTTGCAGTTCTGTCCCAAGTTCTGGCACATTCTGTACTTGTTAGCATGGCCACTTGTATCTATGCTCACCAGCAACACCGGCAGAAGCCCCCGCATAGCCGTAGTCGGCCTACAGCGGAAGTAAGAGCGAGAGCATGGTGGTAGTAGTAGTAGTAGTAGTAGTAGCAGTTGTGGTACTGGTGCTGGTGGTGGTGGTGGTGTGGCAGGAGGACGAGGCGGAGGCATCGTAGCAGGAGGATGAGGAGGAGGAGTAGGGGGTGGAGGAGGAGGAGGAGGCGTAAGTGCATCTGCAAAAGACGCAGATGTAGGTGCGCTTACATCTACCCAGGCTGAAGCAGCGGCAAGAGGCTTTAGAGGATGTGGAGAAGCTGCTGCCGCTGCTGGCCGCATTCTCGGTCCTTCTGTTCGGCTGTAGCATGAGTGGCAGCACTATCGGTTGCATGTCCAGCTTGTTATTCGAAAGTTCGCTCTCATTGGTGTTGTCCCATCCCGTCTTCCTTGCCCTCATCATGCATGTGATTGCAACTGCCTGTCTGGTGATCCGCTGCACACGAAGTCGTACCCTTTCCATCATGGTAGTTGCGGCCTCGTGGCAGTAACTCGTATCTGGCGCCCCAGGCATTTTCACCAAGACGGGCATGTGCTCTCTGCAGTACCGGTAGACCCTCGGTGCTAAAGGCTAGATGATGCAGACCATCATTGTTGCCACCAAGCCTGAAATCCCCAAACCCAGCCTTGGGCAGTGGCTCAGAGCCAGTCACCCTACACCAAAAAACCCTGAGCCTGAACCTTCGACAGCAGTTCCCGAACTTTGAAGCTCCACTCCACAGTCTGCGCTACCCACGCAAATGCTAACTCGGACAGACATCATGAAATGCTGCGGTCATGGTGTCGAGGCCCGAGTAGTTAGTAATAATTACCCAGGCTTTTCCTTAGGGCAGCCTGTTATAACTATGGTATGATATAGCTATTGCCGCGCATGTAATACGCATATGTGTATGACACGCCTACATGGTTGCCTGATTTGGGCCCTGGCCCTGTCTGCCCTTCTACACCGGATTCCTACGGCAAATCCAAGCCGTCACGACGCGAGACGCTTGGGGTTTGGGATTTAGGGCTTCGGGTTTCCGGGCCCACCGCCCCAAACTTACCTTTGGTCAGTAGGGAATGGAGGAATGAAGTACAATTATAACTACCATTACTACCAATCTTCCATTCCCTACTAACCAAAGGTAAGCAAATGCGCCGCCCAGGGACCTCCCTCAGACAAGGAGGCTCTGGAGCTGCGCGAGAAAATCCTGGCGCTCGGGAGCCTAGTTCGTACCTTGTTTCGGGTTTAGGGTTTAGGGTTCGATTTTGTGTTGGGGAAGGGGGGTGGTGTCGTGTGTGGTCTTGAGGGTCTTAGAATAAGGGGGCCCTATGACGAGCTGTTGCACTATTCCTTGGGGTTCCGATTCATACAAATATACTTGACGTGCCCCACGATCTTATGCCAAGAAATATGAAGTCCCATATTAGCAAAGCTTCGTTGCTTGTGCATCTGAGGGCGGGCGTCTCTTCCGATGTCCAGATCGGAAAGGAACTGGGTGTTTTTTTTTTTCTGTCTAGGTTGAACTTCTACAACTGCTGCAAGTTCTGCGTTGTTGTAGTTTCTACATGCTGCTGGGCCTTGCTTCGTAACCTACTTATGCTCCATTTCTCTGACGACTAGTGATGCTTTGTTGTTCTTCTTCGATTTCTGGCTGATGTCTGCGAGGCATTGCTTTCTGCTTGCTGGTTTCTGATTGTGAGTGCCGATTGTCGAACGGTTCAAGCTGCCCAGAAGTTGGGCACGCACGACATTTTCGGGTTTCATTGAACTCTTCTGCACCCAGCAAACCCTGAACCCTGATAGGGTGGCGTCAAAGGCCCACCTCCAGACCTCTCAAGTTCCTCTGCTGGGAGCACTTGTGTTTCAGTCAAGCAGGAATGTAAGCAACCCTAGCAACGAAAAACATCATAAACTCTCGGTTAATCGTGTGCTCTGAGCCCTCAAACAACCTGGACTCCAAACCCTCAACCCCCCAGAAATAGTTTACTTATTCGGGCTTCCATGCTAAGCAAGACCCCAAGTCAAAAGTGAGGTTGCCAACCTAAATCCAAGACCCTTAATCCCAAAACCAAAAGTAAGGCTGCCAACCCTAAACCCAAAACTGTAAGTCGGGTTGCCAACCGCAAACCCTAATCCCCGAAACCAAAAGTCAGGCTGCCAGCCCTAAACCCTACCCTAAACCCCAAAACTGTAAGTGACGTTGCCAACCCCAAACCCTAAACCCTAACTCCCAAACCCAAGCCGCAAACCCTAAACCCCAAAACCAAAAGTCAGGTTGCCCACCCCGACGACCGAGCCTGCGAAAAAAGCGGCTCCCGCGTCGCCGAAGGAGGTGGGGATCCAAAGCTGTGAACGGCTTAGGGTTTAGGGTTTCTAAGGGTTACTTAGAAATAATTTTTAATTTTTGGTTAGTATAATCCCTCAGAAACAGCTAAAATTATGATTTTTGCTAGGGTTCTAAGTTCAGTATAGTAAGGTTTGAGGTTTAGGGTTTAGGGACGCAAGTGACAGATTGGGGCCTCGATAATGCGAGTGGGCTTTCGGAGATCCCTAAACCCTAAACCCGACTCCACAGTGTAGGCCTTATATAGGCAGGCACTGGACCTGCATCGTCATGCGGGAAAGAGCCACTGCACTTCAAAAAAGACCCTATTCTTGTTGTTTTTTCTCAAAGAAGCTTGAGGGGTTCTGTCAGGGTTCGATTCGCTCTCAGGGCTTTGGATTTAGGGTTTGTTTCACGCATAGTTCCTGAATGTAGGTTACGCTGATTGACGAACTGCTTCACTTAATCAGCAACCTAAGGGGGATTCTCACGTCACGGCTCTTGCAGGGACGGAGTTTTGTGATCTTCATGGATTGCCAGGTTTTGTTTGATTCCGCACAACAGCAACATAGACGCGATGATCAAGATCTTTCGGGGCAAATAAGGTCAGAAGAGGTTTGACAATTCATGGAGTTTTTGTTTCGAGGTCTCAAGTATTTCGGGGGAGGTGGTGCCAATCGCTACGGACGGTCGAGGTCATCCAGTGAAGCAGAAGTAGTAGCAGTAGCAGCAGCAGCAGCAGCAGCAGGAGCAGCAGCAGCAGCAGCAGTAGCAGCAGCAGCAGCAGCAGCAGCAGTAGCAGTAGCAGCAGCAGCAGCAGCAGCAGGAGGAGGAGGAGGAGGAGGAGGAGTAGGAGTAGTAGTAGTAGTAGTAGTAGTAGCAGTAGTAGTAGTAGTAGTAGTAGTAGTAGTAGTAGTAGTAGTAGTAGTAATAGTAGTAGTAGTAGTAGTAGTAGTAGGAGTAGGAGTAGTAGTAGTAGTAGTAGTAGTAGTAGTAGTAGTAGTAGTAGTAGTAGTAGTAGTAGTAGTAGTAGCTGTTGTTGTAGGCGTATTAGTAGTGGTAGTAGTAGTCGTCGTCGTAGCAGTAGTTGCAGTAGTACAGCAGTAGTCGGCATTGTCGTGGGGGTCGTCGTAGTCATAGTCGTCGTCGTATTCTCTTGCCGCCCTTGCGATGGTACCCGTGTTGACGACTCTTGTATGGTTTTTCAAAGTTTATGTATGCAGTTGCAGGCACTTGTTTTTTTTTTTCCGCTAGGGCTCCTAGACGGAAAAAACTCCAAAGCCTGAAAGCCCTTAAACCTCTGAAATGTCGGCGCAAGCTGACCTGGAGTCAGGCTTCAGAGCCACCCCCAGGGTTCAAGCGCATGCAGATCGTCGAGGCGTGACAGCACACATATGGGTTTAGGGTGAAAAGGTCTTGGGGTCTTAGAGTCTTAGGGTCTGAATAGGGTCTTGGGGTTAAGGGTTTGAGGGTACGACATGCACCACCGAACAGCAAGACCCACCTGAATTGTGAACAACATTCGTCTGTCCTGTCCATCAACAGAATCATGACGACATCGAGAAGCGTTTGTTCAGGAACAAACTATATCACCAGCTGAGTTGAAGCCTTACCGCCCTGAGTCCTAAACTTAGGAGGCTACACTTGAGAAACCCTGAGCATCCCCTCCAGCTGATTCATGAGGGAGTTTCCGACACTAGGGGACCCTAATATAGCACCCTAAATAGTAGGACCCTTGTTATAAGGACCCAAACTCAGGTACCCCTACTCTAAAAGACACCGGAGGTGCGCCCTGTCCATGGCCCTGAAAGCTGCTAAAGCCCACAGAAGGGGGCTCCTAGAATGCAGGGTACGTTTTCAGTGGGACTTGAAACGGAAGACCCAACTATTTCGCGATTTGTCTGTGTATATAAATATAATATGTATATATATATATATAATAAATATATATATATGTGTGTGTATACATACGTAGCTATAATGGGTCAGTGTATTTGCGGAAACCCTCGGAAGATTCGAAGTAGGCTCTTGTAGATTAGTTTGCGAGAGGCCAGCGATTCTGAGGAGGAAGCGGAGCCGGCAAAGGCCATTGCCAGCACGACAAAATGCCATCTCCGACACCCTAAATCGTAAGCACGCTAAACCCTAAACCCGTAAGGCCTCAACCCTGAAAGACACACGAAACCTTAATCCCTAAACCGCAGGGCTCAGACTTCTTCTTGGTTGCTCCGCTCCGAAATTCGGGTGCATCTGATGTTTGCCACAATTGAGAGACTCCAAGTTCATACCAAGCCTTGAACCCTAAACCCTAACCGAAAACCTTACCCCTAAAGACTAACCCCGAAACCCTAAACCCTAAACTCTTGTGAAATTTCCCTGTCTAGCAGTGCCGTGTTGACAGTCCTCATGCGAGCGTAGTTTTTCATGTCCATTCTGAACGCTTCGTTACTTGAAGACGTCTTGGGCTCGAATCCAAAACAGGCTTTGCTGGTGTGGTTGGACACTCTCGAACCTAGTTCCTGCTTCAAACTGGTAGCGGAGCTGAGAGGACAACCACTAGTGTATCACCCCCGAGAGCCGGTGGTCCGGGGACCGTAGAGTAGTTGATAGATAGTTGTGGAGCAAAGGCCCCTACTGTCTTAGGTGAAGCCATGAGCGTGGCAGGTTTGCGCTACCAGCCCAATCTCTGGTCACAGAACCTGAGCCCTGCCGAAACCAAAAGCGGCTCGTACATATACGACGGGTCAGCTGCTGGGTTCCACGATTGGTGTCTCCGGACCGACGCGTGAGAGGCCGTCGTTCGCTATGTACCTCAACCACTACCTCTTGCATCACAGTATGCGAGCCGGACACCACAATCCACAGTGGAGTAGTGTTCAGCTTACCAACAGAGGCGCAGAGGCCCATAAAGACCTAGCCAACACTCCTGGCTCGTTTAACTACACTATAGGTGTGGGCGAGTATCGTGGAGGCGGTCTATGGGTAGAAGAAGCCACGGGTACAACCCCCGTGCGTGTTCAAAACGCGACAATGCATGGCACCGTCCATGATACTAAGAACAAGGTTCTTAAGTTTCGCCCAAAGGACGTGCACATGGTCGCACCGTTCGTAGGAGAACGATATAGCATCTCCGCATACACGGTGAGTGATCTTGGCAAGTTGTCTAAGGTCTAAAGATGACATAC